AAGCATTCATCAATTTCTCAAAAACAATATTAAACCCTATTATCAGTTGTGTGATTCTCATGAAACAAGTTACATTTTAATGATGCATCTATTTCTCGATGTTAATACCATTCAAAATGAACATCCATATATTAATAATTCAACAACATCAATTACATTTCGTCTTAAATTTCTCCAATCGAAAATTCCAACAAAATTTTACAATGAAAAAAATGGTTTTGGTTATTTTGATACAACGCGAATTTTTGTCACTAATGGTTTATATATTTTAAATATTGAAACATTACGTTTGACACTATTTTCAACGAATACAACTGAATTATATAAATTATTGCCAATAATTTCTTTCAATATGGAAACAATTACTGACAATATGATTGACATACCATCGGGATGTTTTGAGAATGAAAAAATTATCTCCTATGTTTTAATTGCAACACATTTGGAGAATACAGTAATTTGTGTTAATTATTTACGTTTTTTGCCGGGACAATTGATTGATGAAAAAAATGAAATAGGAAGTACCAAATGGTGGAGGGAACGTGATAAATTATTAATTGAAAATTATCGGCAATTATTTCCCAATTATGAAAATTTGGAGATATGGGTTGAATCCTACGATAGTGAAATTGAATTACTGGAAAGTTTTATACAACTCTATTCACAGGGAAAACTTTTGTATGCTCTTGTTAATAATTGCAAAGCTAAACATTTTTTCATTGGTCACAGTATAATTAAATATATCCCTTTTATGTTGCGACGTTTTAAATGGTATCAAATGCATCAGCACGTTGAGGATTACGTTACCTATGATACAGTTTCATTAGGCGATAGTCAAATAATTGTCAAATTTCACAAAAATGCCTATTTTATTGATTTATATCGAGTATTTAAACAACAACATTTGGCAACTAAATTGTTAAAATTCGATGTTTCTCAAAATTTAAATCCTCTTTCGATTCGAATCTATTATATTCTCGGTACATTGAAAAATGTTGAATTTCTCCAAAAAATCGCCACTGAAATGAATTCGAAATTTTCAATTTCATTAAAAAAATTACCCCAAAATATTCACAATTGTCTAACAAAAGGAAATTTAAATATAACTCAACTTGAAATTTATCCTCTCAACGAATTTCTCATCAACAGTATAAAAAATTGCTCCACAATTCTTAATTTATGGTTTAATTATCAAAAATTCTTTTTTAATATCACTGAATTATATCCCTGTAATTTAGAAAAAGCATTACAAGCCAATACTGCAACACGTACAAAAATTGCATTCGACTATAATTCCTTCAAGTATCGACAAATTTTATCGGCTAATAATTTTAGTTTCATTGGTAGTAGTAAAAAACCACGTTATTTGTTTACCACTCATTTGAATGAATCACTTCTTTTCAAATCAATGGAAATTCATTCTAAATATTCGGATAATTTTATTGAATTCGACAATGAAAGATATAAAAAGAATATTAATGAATTTTTCCTCCAATTATATGAGCAATATCCTTGTGTTGATTTGATAAAATACAAAAGTACAAGAAAAAAATATTGTGGCGCTGCTGTTATTGCTTTTTCGGGTGTCTATTTTAATTCCATACAATTTGATATTGTCTCACAATATCCAAATATTTTAATAGGTAAACAATTATTTACCGATTCTGTCGATATTATTTCAGCAGGTACTTTGCAAAAAATTTTAAAAACAGAAATTTATGAAAATTTTTCCACATGGCTTCAAATGGATTGTATACAAATTTTTATAGCCGAAGATAAATACAGTGATAATTTTGCATTTTATTTGAAAAATTTTTCTCTTAATGATACAACAATTGTTGGTCAATTAATTACTAGCATTGATGTAGTTATGAAATTATCATCTGAAATTCCATTACTTATTTATTGTCCCGATAGTCAGTCGTTTCTCAATAATTTTCTTCGTCATTTATTAAATGTTCGAAAAAATTTACAAAATCAAAAAAATGGTAAATTAATTTTTGAAGTGGGGCAAAAATTTTTAAAAACAACAGTTAATAGTATTTATGGACTATTTGGAAATTTACATATTCCTGTAGCGGCTATGATCACAATGTTGGGTAGGAAAATATTAATTTTTGCCATGAAACTTATACCTATTATAATTCTAAAAATTTTAATGCAGCATATCAAAATTTGCTATTTGTTCCATTGTACCTATAATATTGATTTAGTTCATAATTCCAATGATGTTAATAGTGAAATGATTTTGAAAATTGGAGAAAAATTTCCATTTGTTAATAGTCTATTGTCGTTAAATAAACGTGAAAATTTTTCTAAAACTTGTAAACTTTTGCTAACACATTTTTCATTAACAACATTGTGTGAAAATATTGAAACAATATCTGTTTTTAATGAAACTAATATTTCTCTATTGTATCAACGTTGTTTATTAGATGGTCAAATTAGTGTACGCCATTTATTGGAAACAACAAAAAAATTAGAAAATCAACTAAATAATTATGAGAATAATAATTACATTCAAAAAATATACAATGAATTACCATTGGCTGTCAAAAATTGTGTTTTTGATTGTGATACAGATGGTTTACAATTTATGAATACATTTCAAATAGATTCAAAATTAATTCTCCAATTACTAAACGATGAAATTGTCAATGTATTTCAATTGGATAATATTATTTTTACTAAAAAAGAAAATGACATTGTCTTTTCACTTGCCAAAAAGAAATACACGATATTTAAATTGAATCCAATTTGTCAGTTAAAATTTCTCCATGAACAAAATAAAAATGTTATTTACATTGATGATTGCAATTTACAACATGTTGGTTATCAAAATAATGAATTGTCATGTTTCAATTATCTTTCTAATTTTATCGCTGTCATTTGTATTTTAATTTATCAGAATAAGTGTCATTATAAATTTCGTGATATTATTTACAGTTGTTTCAATTATTTAGAAAATTTATCACCTGGCGAAATTTATATTAATATTCAATTAAATCAATTAAATGTCAATTCAGCAAGACTTCGATTTATTAATAAATATACACAAATTTATAGTGGTGAATTGCGTGCTGTTTATATTGTAAAAGAATCATTAATTTCTAATAAAAATGATGTATCATTTTTAGAGCAAGCGTCATTAAACAATTTGGAACAATTAATTTTACTTGATGACTATATTTATAGTAAAAAATATCAAGAAAATGTTGAAAATCATGAAATAATGCAATTACATTATGGTTTCTTTTTGAGACCATTTGGTAAAATTTGGTATAAACAATATTGTCTTTCTACAAATAATAAAGTTCACAATTGTAATAATGCAAATAATTTCAATGAAATGAATACTATGTTGATGATTAATCAATATTTTGATGATTGGTTTTCCAAATCACCACAATTGAGATGTGTTGATGAATTAGACGATTTTCTATTAAATCGATTTATAGTGATCAAACAATCATGAATATTGTGAAGGTTTTTTTTTTGAAGTTTGCATTGTAGTTAATAATATAAATGGATTGATAAATTATGAAAAATAAAAATATAAAAAATTACTTACCTAGAAATCTACCTTACCGACTGATGGTAAAGAACATTTTTTGGAAAACATAAAAAATTACCCACACAAAAATTTACCTTACCGATTGATGATAAAGAAAGTTTCTTTGAAATAAAAGTATAAAAAACTTACAGACAGTCAATAATATAGATGGATTTATAACTTATGAAAAATAAAAATATAAAAAATTACCGACCTAGAAATCTACCTTACCGACTGATAGTGAAGAAACTTTTCTTTGGAAAATATAAAAAAATACCGACACAGAAATCTACCTTACCGACTGATGGTAAAGAACATACTCTTTGGAAAATATAAAAAATTACCGACACAGAAATCTACCTTTCCGACTGATGGCAAAGAAATTTTCTTTGAAATGAAAATACAAACACATTACCGACGTAGAAATTTACCTTACCGACTGTTAGTAAGACAGTTTTGAAAAAGTTTGAAAATTTTCTTTACCCTCAGCCGGCAATGTAGATTTCTGTGTCGGTGATTTTTATATTTTTATTTTTAAAAAAAATTCTTTACCATCAGTCGGTAAGGTAGATCTTTATGTCGGTAATTTTTTATATTGTCATTTATCAAAAAGTCTGTCTTACCATCAATCGGTAAGGTAGATTTCTGTATCGGTAATTTCTATATTTTTCATTTTTTAAAAAATTTTATTTACTATCAGTCGTTAAGGTATATTTCCGTGTCGGTAATTCTATATTTTATGTTTCAAAAAAACTGTTTTACTATCAGTCAGTAAGGTAGATTTTTATGTCTGTAATTTTTTATATTGTCATGCCAAAAGCCTGTTTTACCATTAGTCGGTAAGGTTGATTTCTATATAGGTAATTTTTATATTTTTATTTTTAAAAAAATGTTTACCACCAGTCGGTAAGGTAGATTTCTATATAGGTAATTTTTTTATATTTTTGTTTTTTAAAAAATTACTCTTAGACGGTAAGGTAGATTTTAATGTCGGCAATTTTTATATTTTCTTTTTCAAAAAAACTGTTTTACCATCAGCCGGCAAGGTAGATTTCTGTATCGGTAATTTTTGTATTTTTATTTTTCAAAAAATTTTTTTACCATCACGTAGCGCTCGCAAATGAAATTTGATTTTGCTAACGCGCATTACAAAGAAAAATATTGATTTATTATTATTAATAGAGATGTGAAAAAAAATTATTTAAATATGCAGAACGACTAAAAATTTTCTTTTTAAGTCCATTGTCGTAGAAGAAAAATTAGAACCAATACAAATTATATAAATTAAACTGTACAGAAAAGGTTTTTTGTAAAATGGAAAAAAATTTATAATTACAACAATAATTATTAATTGTAATAAAAGAAGACACATGATTTTTGTTAATTTAAATTACACTTTCCATGGTGTAATTTTTTTTTTAATTATATTTTAATGACATGACAGTTTTATTTTCCTTATTACAATATTAATGAATTAAGATTGTCGAATCGATGATATATAATGAATAAATAAAATTAAAATTTATATATAAATTATTTTTCTTATAAAACTAACACAAAATGTAATTAGATGTTAAAATATGTAACAAAAACAATATAAATAAATCATTAAATTAAATTAAAAACAAAAAAAATGTAACATTTGCTATAATAATGTCTTAATGTTCCCAACAAAAAGAACAATTTCTTCATTATTATTAATGCGTTTGATTATTTTATAGTGAAATGGATGATTAACATTAAAACGCACTGATGGTGGTAGATAGAGAGGAACAAAGGAATTATCTGGAAAAAAAAGAAACTTAATAAAATCTTTATACTTAACTAATTTTAAATGATAACGTTTGTTCGATCATTTTTTTTCACCTATATATCTTGACTTTATATTTTATATATTTAAATGCTTGAATGAAAACAGAAAAAAAATACTGAAAATGACTTACATTCGTATCCATCTTCGACTCTATCTTTAGTTCCACCTTCACTTATATTAATGGTAGCTTGATGAATAATTTGACTTGTACTCGATTCAACATGATCATTATTGAAGAAATAATTAGTTAATAATCTATCAATACCCATCTGAAAAAAAATAATGAAATACAATTTATTATTACTTAAAAAGAACTATATAGCATTTGCTATGTATTTGAATTCATTAAGGGTAAGTCCTAGTATAAAGGAAGCACCATCTATATATAAAAACTAAAATTTACAAAAATTTTTTATCGTCATTAGTTTTTTTTCAATTATTTTATCTCAAAAAAAGATTTATCTTTCTTCACAATAATCAATTATCCTAAATGACATATTTATTTTCTTGTTTTCAAGTGAATACTGTAAAAAAATTTTCCGAAATTTTAGTTTCTAAAAGTGTCTATTAATTTTTTCCAAAAAAAAAAAAAAAAACAGAAATAATAATTTTAAAATTGACTTGTTACTGAAATGTACCTTTTGTGAAACTACTTTCAAATCCATTACACAATTAACTTTAAACTTAGGCAAATTTAAGTCAACAATAGTACTTAAACCATTGCGTGTGATCTGTTCAAGAGTTAGTGTTTCCAGAACATCTTCTACGTTTCTAAGACCATTCATATCATCAGGTAAAACAATAAGCATATAACAATCATTATCCTGTAAAAATGTTGTAATGTTAATAAATGTGAAATTAATTAAAAAAAATTAGAAAAAATTGTTTAATGAAAAAAAAATCGATTAGCCAGAAGAGAAGAGAAAAAAAATGAAATTTATTGCAATAAAATTGTGGAAGTGATAGAATCAGGATAAAATTTACACAAGGAATTGATAAAGAGATAAAAACAGATAAAAAGATATGAAAATAGATAAAAAGAGATAGAATAAGATAAAAGGATATAGAAAGAAATAGAAAGAGAGAGTAGGAGATAGAAAGAAATAAAAAGAGATAGAAAGAGACAGAACGAGATAGAAAGATATAAAATGAGATTGAAAGAGATAGTAAGAGATGGAAAGAGATAAAAAGAGATAGAAAAAAGTAGAAAGTAATAGAAACAGATAGAAGGAGATACAAAAAGATAGAAGGAGATAGGAGATAGAAAGAGACAGAACGATATAGGAGATAGAAAGAGATAGAAGGAGATAGAAAGATATAAAAAGAGTTTGAAGGAGATAGAAAGAGATCAAAAGAGATAGAAGGAGATGAAAAGAGAAATAGTTTGTAGAATTTAGAAAGAGATAGAAATAGAGAGATAGAAACATGTAAAAAGCTATAAAAAAGAGATAAAGTGAGATAGAATATAATAGAAAGAGAGTCTAAAATTTTTTTTTTACCCTAAATGGAATTTTTATAAATGTTGCATTTGCTTCAGTAATTCGTCCATATTCAAAATAACTTTGCATACTCATCATTTGTACGCGAGTATTTGTGTTTCCATTGTAAAAAAATTTTCTAGTTGTGCTATATTTTGAAAACTTTTCTCTCCATTCAGCGTTAAAATAAATGTCAATGTATCTCATCTCACTAGAAGGTTGTTCTAAAAATAAAAAAGAAATTAATACTATTATTATAATTTAAAATCTACTACTGCAAAAAGAGATAATTTGCATATATATTTAGCGTTTAGCATATAAGTTATAGAACTATTTTTAAAACGCAATGCAATTTATATTTAAAAAAAAATAATTTTAAGTTCTCTTACTGTCATTAGCAAACGTAAAACGATTACCAGTTGTAATTTCCCTAAGCCGAACATCAATTAAACTGAAGGCTTTTATGCTGTTTGGTGTTGTAGATGCAATACTCTAAAGAAAAGATAATTATAAATTATGAATAAGTATGGATATTTTTATATTTTTTTATATTTCTTTTGTACCTCTCCACGTAAGTTGTCTATAAGATCTCTATACTGTGTGAATATATAATTATTATTAATTCTTAATTCCAGAACATTTTCAAAGTCTCGAATAGTTGATTCAGTGGAATTAAAGGCAAATATAGATAAAATCACATGTATGGTTAGAGGACTGATAATAATATTACCCGTCTCATTCATTGAAGCAAACTGAAACCAAAAATAATAGAAGTTAAAAAAATTTTAAATTATATATAATAAATATAAACATATTTATGATCTTATAATTTATGATCTTATCTTATGTATTTAATATTTTTCTTATCTTTGACATAGAAAGAAACATTGTTATCTATTACATTCTATTTCTACATCTTTCTACCTATTTCCAACGCCCTCTAACTATTTTCTATCGTTTTTTATTTATTTCTATATTTTTCTATCTCGTTTTATCTCTCTATCCCCTTCTATCATATTCTATCTCTTTCTATCTCTACCTATCTCTTTTTATCACTTTCTATCACTTTATGTCCCTTTCTATCTCCCTCTATCTCTTTTTATCACTTTCTATCTCTTTCTATCCCTTTCTATCTCCCTCTATATCAATTTATATCTTCCTCTATCTCTTTTTATCACTTCCTATCTCTTTCTATCTTCTATTCTACCCGAGATTCTACCCCTTTCTAACTATTTTCATTTCTTCCTATATAATTTTTTCTATTTTTATCTCTTCTTATCTCCTTCTATCTCTTTATATCTATTTCTATATTTTTCTATCTCTGTCTATCTCTTTCTATCTTTTTCTATGTCTTGCTATCTATTTCCATCTTTTTTTAGTTATACCATACAACTTGTTACTGTGTGTTTTTCTCTTACTCTATATTAGATGTTTATAATTTAAAATCAAAAATATTATCCCTTACTTACTTTAAATAATTTAACACTAAACTTGTTGACACCTCTACTCAAATAATTATTGTCTGTTATTTTGTAGGCATTTGTGTTGCTTCCATATATAACAATGATAATGAACATTGTTATGCAAAAAGTCAAGGAACCTAAAAAAAAAATTAAATACAATTTTTATGTATATAAAATATTTATAGTGAAATATTTGTTAACATATTCATTAAATTTTAAAAAAATATCAAATTCCTCTTTGTTGGTGGGACAAAAGAAGGAAAACATATTTAATTTTTATTTTGGTAGACAAACGTTTGTACCTCTTTAAAAAAACTTGCTTTAATTCAAAAACTTTTTAAAAACTCCTATAGATACCAAAAATTTTTTAAATTCAAATAATTTTTTATTCTAATTTTGTCTTTAAAACAATTAATTAATTAATAATTAACAATTAAATTGTCCATGTTGAAAATAATTATCAAATTTTTAAGTATTATTAAAGAATTATTATTATATAATATAATATTATATTATATATTATTATTATAAAAAAATAACTAATTTTATTAGTTAAAAAATAACTGAAAAATAGTGGTATTCGTCTAATTGAATTATTATGGTCAATATATATATAGAAAGTTTATTTTCAATTATATGACTTTTTTCTTTTGCTGTATATCAAATCAGTTATTATTTTTTACTAATTCAAAATTAGAGAGTAACATAATGAATGAATTAAATTTGATTTCATTGAATTGATTGATTCAATGATTTTATTGAAACAAACTCAACTTATTAAACGGCACGTGAATATTTTATTTAATGTTTCACTGTAAAAAAAATTTATTTTATTCAAATACCGGTGTATTTGGTTATTATCAAATAAATATTTACTTGAATCAAATATTTCTTATTTGAATCAAATAAATGGTATTTGCTTCAAATACTGAAATATTTTATTCAAATACTATATATTTGATTTAAATACTATATATTTGATTCAAATAAATATTTATTTGATAATAACCAAATACACCGGTATTTGAATCAAATAAATTTTTTAAAAAACAAAAGAAAAGAAAAACTATCGATATTAAATCAACTGTTTCAATATTGCGTAACCTTCGTTAGTACATATAGTTTACTTGTTTAATGATATACACGTCTGCTGAAATATCTCCCAATTTTTAAAACACGTGTTACAATTTATCAAATTGGCTACGAAAAAGAACAAAAAAAAAAAAGATTCCGTCTTCATTGTACTGCGTACAAATTCTAACACTTTTATTATATTATATATTATATACAAATATATATATTAATAATTGTATATATAAAAAATATATACAAAATTTTTTTTTTGAAAGCTAAATAAATATTTATTTGTTTCAAATCAAAAAATTTATTTTCTTCATGGAACTATAGATATTCTTTTATTTGACAGCTTTTTTTTGTTTTTATTTTTTTACCAACCCCACATAACCTTGCCATGCGAAAACCAAGGTATCTGTATGAAGATTTCCCAAAAGTCCCTAAGCAAAATATAAAAATAAATAATAATAATAATAATAAAAATAATGATAATTATCATCATATATTTTTAACGAATTTCCCGCAGTAGTTTTCTACTATAAAAATTTACAGCTGCGCAATACTTTTTTTTTGAAACATTTTTTAATATTATTAATTTTTTAATGTTAATATATTAGAAAATATTTCATAACAAAACTCAAATTAAAAGTCAATTAAAAAAAAAAAAAAAGTAGTCAGGATTGAACCAGGTAGTCAGGGTTGAGCCACTGTAGAAAATCAATGAAATATGCAGATAAATGATTAATAATGACCTTCAAATGATAGAATGGCATTTAAATACCACTTGGAAATGTGTAAAGGAACCACAAAATTGAAATAAAAAGCCCTTATTATGTAATATTCAGATTTTTGCTTGTATCGCGAAGCTGGTCTGAAAAGTGAAAAAAAAATTATCAAAAATTTGTATTTTCTTTCTTTCCAATGGAAATGAAGTTTTTTACACCTCTTTTAGTTGACAAATGAATTTCCATTGCAAGAACCCTTCATAATTGCAAAATTCTTTTTGGTGGCTCAACCCTGACTCACGCGTCGTTTAGCGTCACATCATACACGCACAAAAATAAACGCATGATCCAAACACCATATTACGTTCCACATTTTTATATAACATCTTAAGGCCAGGTCCAAGTTGTGTCAGCTGTTCCATTGAAACTTCAAAGGAACAGCTGACTCGACTTGGACCTGGCCTTAAAACTATAATAATTTTGGAAAATTTTCAACAGTCTTTTCTCGAAAACAAGAAGGTAAAATGCGTTTTTCTTTATGGATAATTGATTATTAGCAAGAAATACACCAGCTAAAACTTTTTTTGGGTTAAAATGATGAAAAAATTTTCATGTAGATAAATTAAATATGAGCAGTTTTTTCAAATCGCGAAACGTCTGGTGACATATATTACCTGCCAAACGGCTGTCATAATTAGTAAAATATGTTATGTTAAAAAACGTTTTTTTTTTGGTTATTTTCGTGATTGGTAAATCTTAGCTGGTGTATTTTTTAGCGTTTATTAATTTTCCAAATGGAAATTGCATTTTTGATTGTAATTTCTGAGAAAGTACTGTTACAGTTTTTGTGAAAAAAGTGCTCATATTTAATTTATTGACATAAAATTTTTTTCATTATTTTAATTCAAAAAAAGTTTTAGCTGGTGTATATCATGCCAATAATCAATTATCCATAAAGGAAAAAGCATTTTATCTTCTTGTTTTCAAGAAAAGGCTGTTAGAAATTTTCAAAAATTTTAGTTTCAATGTAGATGGCGCTGCCTCACTTGGACCTGGCCTTAATGAACAATTTTAGTCAAGTTACTTTATCTTTGATATATTTTTTCTGCACTGACTTGCATAATACGTCTTTATTGTTCGCACACATTCACTACAACGTATGTGAAAAGTTCGCTGACATTGCTAACAAATACTTACATACAAAAAAAAGATGGATCTAGTGTGATAAAACAAAATAAACGCTATGACTCAACCCTGACTACTCTCCCCTATTTATGAAATATTTAATATTTTTTTAAGTTATGAGCTATAATGAAACAAGGTAAATAATTTTATATCATCTATTTGAAAATTTTAAAAGAAAAATAATTTTCAAAAAATTATTACAATTAATTGAAAAATGTAATATTAATAATTATAAAAAAATGATCAAAAGAGATAGTAAGAAATAGGCAGAGATAAAAAAAAGATAGAAACAGATAGAAAGATATAAAAGAACATAAGAAGGAATAGAATTATATAAAAAGAGATAAAAAGAGATATTAACATATAGAAAGATTTAAAAAAAGTTTTAAAGAAAAGGATAGAAAGGTATAGAATAGAAATAAATAAAAGGAGATAGAAAGAGAAAAAAGGAGATAAACATATAGAAAGAAATATTACAAAAATAAAAAGCAATAAAAACGATAGAAAGTGATAAAGAAGAAAATAAATTTTCAAAAGCCTTTTAAATAAAAAAATTATTTTAATTAATTCAAAAATTTTATATTAATCATTATAAATTAATTTTATTCTAAATAATTTTGTTTTAATTAAAATTTATTTTAATGCGATATTTATTTTTTTTTTTTTTAAAAAAAAAGAACGAAAATAGTAGAAAATAAAATTACACTTACCGAAATTCATCTTGTCTGATGAAGAAACTTCACTCGATATGACTAAACCAAATATGTACAGAGAGCAAATTTTGATACGTGCGGAAATTTTTATATATACTTCCCCATTTAGAAATTTCGACAATATAGTACTGATAAGTGGGAAAACTTTGATGATTGGTTAATTAATTTTGTCCTAGTAAAAAAATATATATCTTAACTAAATTATATATGAATTAAAATCTTTATAGTAAATATTTTTTATTTATATAAAAATTATCTTAATTGACAAATTTTATTTATTTAAAATAAAATTGTCATTGAAATCACAATATAATAATTACTACCTTACTTTTCATGTGAAACTTCAACGAATATACTTGTCATATAGCATATCATGTGAAGAAAAAAAAATCCACGTGCGACAATCTGATGTTTCTAAATTTGTTCAACAAGTTGCTAATGATGCAATAAAAAATTACTCCTATATTTACATATCATATTATTTGTCGCCATCACCCACTCTTATCAAATCTAAATACGTCAATTGACGCGGGATATTCATCCACTCACTAAGAATAATGTTAATATACAATTTTTATCCATATTATTTTAATTTTTTCTTTTAATCCATTAGTTTAAAATAAATGGAATATGTCTAGACTTTTGTATTTAAGTGAAATGAGATAGAGATATTTTATTCCAATTCATCCCTTTTTTGTATTGCTTTGCTATATATGTTCTATTTACTATTCTATCTATTTCTACCCACTTCTATCTTCTTTTATTATATAGTTCTCTTTCTTCCTATTTTCCTCTACATCTTTATATATCTTTTTTATCTTCTTTTATCTCTTTTGATCTCTTTCAATCTCTTTCTATCTCTTTCTATTTCTTTTTACCTATTTATATATCTCTTTTTATCTCCTCTATCTCTTTCTATTACTTTCTACTTTTTTCTATCTCTTTCTAACTATTCTTATCTATTCCCAATCAAAAATTTACTAATGGCGCAGTTCTTGCCCAGTACTGACAAGTGTTGGCGCAGTACTGGTACCCACTATTGGCTGCCAGAGTTGGCACCACTACTGGTTCAGTACTGGCACACAGTGAACTTGGTTGTATCTTTTTCTATTGCAACGTTTTGATGCACATAAGTTATATCAAAAAGAGATCGTTTTGTGTATCATTTTTAGAAATGATACACGAAACGGTCTCATTTTTTGATGCAAAAAATTTAATCAATTTATATCAATCATGGCCGAATTGAATCGACTCAAAATTAAACGAATTTTTTCAGATATTTTGGTAATAGTACAATTGCGGAGACCATTTCACTATTTAATTTGAAAATGAAAATAACAGAAAATCAAAGACGATGTGCAATTCGATAATTAAAAAGTGACAGCTTATAAACATAACCTAAAATGCATGAGAAAAAATTTGTCGATAAAATCAATATAGCCGAGCTTTTTAGAAGGTAGATGGCAGCACTCATCTATTTTCTTTCTTTAAATTTTTTCTGAATCGTTTTTATAAAAAGCAAAACTGCCATCTACCTTCTAAAAAGCTCGGCTATATTGATTTTGTCGACAAATTTTTTCTCATGCATTTTAGGTTATGTTTATAAGCTGTCACTTTTTAATTATCGAATTGCACATTGTCTTTGATTTTCTGTTATTTTCATTTTCAAATTAAATAGTGAAATGGTCTCCGCAATTGTACTATTACCAAAATATCTGAAAAAAATTCGTTCAATTTTGAGTCGATTCAATTCGGCCATGATTGATATAAATTGATTAAATTTTTTGCATCAAAAAATGAAACCTTTTCGTGTATCATTTCTAAAAATTATACACAAAACGATCTCTTTTTGATATAACTTATGTGCATCAAAACGTTGCAAAGATTTGATGCAATTTTTGGTCTCAATTTGATACTTTTAGGAAAACTGTGGCAGTTTTGTAATTTATTGTATACGAAAAGAAAGCTTTAACTGTAACAGAGATAAGTTTCACTGCAATAGTGAAATCTCTGCTCCAGGTAATACTTTTTTTTTAGGAAAAATTGTATGAAATTTTTAGTAACCCAACACAAATTAAATATTCATTAAATTAGTCAACTAACTAATTAATATTTTATTATATATATAAAATCGAAAACACCAAGAATTTTTATTCTTTATATTAAGTGTAATATATATTGCAAATTATTATTTAAAAAAAATCAAAAAATAAATATAAAAATATGTTTATTATAAAACCAAGGTTTTTATAATATATAAAAACAGTTCAGTAAAAATAAAAAATGTTTATAAATTAATTATAATGTATGTATTATACAATTAGCTATTTAATTATTTTATAAATTCACTTTAATTATTTGCATCAAAATAAATTTTTTAAAAACTTTTTTAAGAAAATAAAAGTTGTTTTTTAATTTTTAACAAGTGTTGTCAAGAAAATTTTTTTAAATTTTTATTTAAAAAAATTTTTAATTTTTTTATAAAAATTTTTATTTATTTTTAGTTTAATCGTTTTTAAATTTTTTTTGGTTTATTGCATATCTGAAAACAATAAAAAAAACTTGCAAAATGTTTTGAAATTAGTCTCAGGAAACTTTTTGTTTAAAAATAATTTTACCCATAAAAAAGCAAAATAAAGTACGTTTTAATTTTCAAAAATAAAATCAAAGTGAACAAATTTTTATAAACAAAAAGATTCATCCGAGGGGGAATTTACTCAGATAGTCAAGTGTACACTCTTCCTGTAATACTTGTGTAATAACGTGTAATACCGTGTAATAATGCGTTATTACAGTGCTGTAATAACGAAAAAAAACTCTGTAATATCTCTGTAATAATGTGTAATACTCTGTAATAACGTGTAATACTTAGTAATAAGGGTAATATGAGGTGTAATACCGGTAGTTAAGTGTACACGTTTTTATAACTAGTAAATTCCCCCTCGGATTCATCAGGAGCACTCTAGAACTTTTTGTAAACTAGTATTAATCAAAAAGAAAATCTATTTGAACCAGTACTGGCTCAATATCGGCTAAGTACTGGTTTGCCAGTACTGGAAGGGTGGTACTGCAATAGTACTGATACAATGAAAGTACCAGTTGTACTGGTTCAGTACAGACTGCCCAGCCTCGGCAGCCAATACTGAACCAGTACTGCGCCAGTAGTTAACTCTGGTATAATACTGAAATTTTTAGTTGGGTTTATATCTCTTTCTATGTCCTTCTATCTCTTTTTTATCTCATTCCAGCTTATTCTATATCTTTCTATCTATTTCCATCTGTTCCTATATAATTCTTCCTATTTTTATCTCTTTTCATTTCTTTTTATATCTTTATATCTCTCTATCTATCTATTCTTATCTCTTTCTGTCTCCTATATCTGTGTCAAATTGAAGGCTAAGTTCGTTAGCCAGCCATTTTCGACAAGAAAATACAAAAACTAGAGCCTTTTCAAAAATCAAAAATTTTAATTTAAAAAAAAAATGTTTTTCACTACACAGGAGAAAATAAACAACTTTTTAATGTGACATTTTTTTGATTAAAATAAAATTATAAAAGGTTACAGTGGTTTAAATTCTGACATGATGAAGCAAATCTGACTTCAGATTCGTTTTCAAAATAATTTAGGCATGGAAAATCAATCAGAAATTTTTTTTTTTATTTTTGTGAACCAATTGCTTATAGGTGACATCAAATACTGTTTTTTTTTGTGACATTTTTGTATTTTTCACTGTTATTCAAAAATTATAAAACTTTAAATGTGAAAAATACCAAAAAGCTGTGTTTTTTTTTCTTAAACAACAAATTTTTTCTGATATACTAAATGCTGAGGTATTATTTACTTTTTGAAACTTACAATTCTTATTAAGATTAATTAATTTACTTTTATTTTACTTACATTTACTAAATAATCTTGCTTTCTCTTTAAATCAAAGATATAAGGATAAAAGAGCTTCCATATATAAACCCATAAAATGTTCTCACAATTTGCTTATATAATATTGAAGGGGAAAAAAATATGTCAAACAAAATTATATATAGGTATAGTGGTTTTATATGGTAATAATTTCAACTAAAATCAATAAAAATAGAAAATTCGATACAATTAACCTTGCGCACTAATTTAATGTTATAGTAATTCTATGCTCGAAGTACCTTCTAGCGTGCATGACGCGCGATTAGACTGTGTTCGAACCCCTAAAGGGGGGCGGACAGATTTTTGTATGTCTTTCTATCTCTTAATATCTTCTTTAATCTTTTTTCATCTCTTTTTATCTCTTTTTCTATCTCTTTCTATAAATTTCTTTTTCTTTCTATCCCTTACTATTTCTTTTTAACTCTTTTTATCTCCTTTTATCTCTTTTAATAATTTTCTATCACCTCTTATCTTTTTTCATCTCTTTTATATCTTTCTATCTCTTACTATCTTTTTTAATTTCTTTTTATCTCTTTTCATCTCGTTTATCTTTTTCTATCTCTTCATATCATTTTCTATTTCTTTCTATCCAATTCTATTTCTTTCAATCTTTTTCTATCTCCTTTTATCTCATTCTATCTCTTTCCGTCTCTTTCTGTCTCTTTCTATCTCCTTTTATCTCTTTTTATCTCTTTCTCTCTCTTTTTATCTCCTTTTATCTTTTTTTATCTCTTTTATATTTTTCTATCTCTTACTATCTTCTTTAATCTCTTTTTATCTTGTTTATATTTTTCTATCCTTTTCTATTTCTTTGTATCTCTTTCTGTCTCTTTCTATCATTTTCTATCTCTTTCTATCTCCTTCTATCTTTGTTTATTTTTTTCCATCTTCTTTTATTTCTATTTATCTTGTTTGTTTCTCTTAGGCAATGTGTAATCTAATTTATCCCTATACTTAAAAGGTTTTTTGGTGTAGCATCTGTCCCAAATGAAAAATTTCTATACTCAGTTAACTTTACTCACATATAAGTACTCATGGTAAATATTAAGTATATAGTGAATTGAATAATAGAAATGTTTCGTTTTTTGGCAGCTGTTGTGCTAAAATTTTTTCTTTATATTTTTCTCACTAGAAAATTTTAATTTTATATTTGAATAACTATAATTTTCAATCTATATTTCGTTGTCAAAATTTACAACACTAACATTCGATGACGTCAGCTTTGAATATGACAAGAGAGTCTTATAATATCATAAAAATATCTTGTTCTTACGGGAATTATTCCAGTTTTAAAATTTTTCAGTTACCAGACATGACTTGATTATATGATTCAAAATCTACTTATTAATGAAGCGCGGAAAATAAGAAAAAAATTAATTTTTGTACATTATAATATATTAATTTTTTCAAAAAAAAATTTTTAATCTTTACAAAAGAATCCACTGTATTTAATGAATAAATTATTTTCGAATATTCTATTTCGATTATTGCTAATGAATATTTTACAAGTGGATATCAAATATTTTATACCAACGGACAATATAGTTTTTATGTATTTTTATTCATTAATTTTAATACATTTCATATAAACTAATAAATAATTACAGAAATATTTTAAAACATATTTTTTTAAAGTTATTTTGTATATAATTATGCTGATAATGATACATATATAAGATACAAATTAACAATAATTTAATATATAAATAATATTATGTATTTAATAATATCTATGTTATTCAATTAAAAATAATTGAATAATGTATAATTTAATAATAATTATTATTATTATGAAATAGGGTATTTAATAGGCAAACTGATATGGCCCTTACTAGTTTTCCTTATGTTGAAAAATTCACTTCTAAATGTAAAATAAAACAATTAATAACAATTTTTAGCAATTTTAAATGAATTTTAAATTATGCATTAGTATTTAAAAATTATTTAGTAATTAATGATTAATAAAAAAAGAAAATAAATTATAATCAAACTCTATTTTAAATAAATGTTGTTTAAAAAAAATGTAGTAAAAAAAATTTTGTAAATCATTGAAATCGTTTTGAAAATAATTTACCCTTTTTCTATAATAAAAAGCAACACGTGCCTTCATTCATTAAAATTTATTACAAAGCTGATTCAACTGATGATGTGGAATTAAGTTTTGTTTACAATCAAAATGCTTTATCAAAAATTTCATAATCTTTACGTATATACATATATATTAATTGTCAAAGGCTTAAAAAAAATTTTGTCTTAGTTTAATATACATATATATGTATATAATAAGGGACATTCTCTAGAAAAATAAGTCACGTAAAAAATACAAGTTCGTCAAAAATCATTAAATAATTTTTAAAATAAACGAATTTTTATATTTGATTTTCTTTTTTTTGAGAATTTTATTCAACTTTAAAATACTATATATTTAACATCAAAATTTTAAAAATTATATTTCATAGAAAAAAAAATGAAAAACAAATTTTTTTCTCAAATAACGAGTATTTTGGGGTATTTTTGAAAAAATGGATTAAAAATTCAAATAAAAAATTGTTTTTTACTTTTTTCTATATAAAATAAAACTTTGCTTTTATGTTTTTTTTTAAATAGTAATGGAAAAAAAATTCATTTTAAACTTTTTGTACTTTATTAAAACACCAGACACAGTAGAAATTTTATTTTCCTCTTCTATTTAGTTTTTAAGTTTTTTTTTCTAGAAGCTCTTAACATTTCCAACAAAAAGAACTACATTTTCTTCAGATGAATATCGTTTAATTATTTTATAATGAAAAGGACGATTGATGTTATAAATCTTTCCACTATCTAGTGAAATAGGAATAAAAGAAAATCCGCCTGTAAAAAGAAAGATATTTTATTAAAAAAATTTTAATTTTTAATAATTGTGCGATTCCAGGTGAGATTTTGACTTTTTCGGAGTAGGTTAACCGATTGCAATGAAACTTTGGAATTTTGTTATATATAGTAAGACTAATTTTTAACGTAAATTTCAGCTTAAAATATTTGTTAGTTTACGAGATTTGCAATATAATAACAAAAAATTTTAAACTTCTATATCTTCCATTCTAATAATCAGATTGAGGTCTACTTTTTTTTAAAATGTCAAGGAAAATAAGAGGAATAAATCTCTTTCAGAACAATTTTTTATAATTTTACAACTAAAAAAATTATTAAATAATAATTGAATAAATTTCACACGACAATCTATTCAATTACTTCAGGACGGATATCATAACCATAAAAATATTGTTATTCATAATATTGTTGGGGTATCCATTCATATGGCTGGCGTAACTTTAAGTATGGAAGAATTTACAAAAAAAAATGGTTGTGGAAACCATATAATATTTGTAAATTTGATATGGATGTACCAACCATATGTTTGGTTGTGTTGTCAATACCGCTATGGATTTTACTAGTTTGGATCTCCTATCATCCATTTTTAAATGGTTACGCTCGTTGATCTAAATAGATGTACGCGTTTGCGCGGTAATCAGACTCGGTCAGCTGGTCACATATTGCGTCATTCTATTTCGCGTCCTCAAATCGTGCGTTCGAAAGAAATAAAGCAATTTGGAATAAATTAAATTATTTAAAATTGGCTCAAAGTGGTTCGGGTAAAATATAAACATGGAAGCTGAGTGCCTACAATTGCGACTTTATGGGTGAACATTTTCCATTGTATGGAATTATAAATGCTATCTTGAAAAATAGTGCTGGTGATATTTGTTTAGTATGCAACGTAATAAGAACAAATGGCTTTGAATATGATTTACAAGCTTATGATGTCTACGAAACTGCCGAATTTGATTGTGTTCTTATAAATGATTTGCATTCTCCTTTGCCAGTCATAATTTGCAAATGGGGAAATGGTTCCATGTTTGCAACTTTACGCCATAAATTATAATTATAATATTATTAAAAGTATATCTCGCGATATTATTTTAAGTTGTTCGCGCGAATTATTATATATAATATTATATATAATTTACGTTTTATTGGAAAAAATAAATATGTTAATATGATACACAATGTTTTAAATTAATTAAAAATAACCTTATTAATAATATAATTAAGAAAATAAAATAAATATTAAGTATAACCATATAAAATAGATACGTTAACTATATTAATATAGTACACAGGTCAATGGTTGCAGCAACAATTAAAAATGGTTGTGACATCCATAGTGAGATATATGCTACTTCCATATTATATGGTTCACACAGCTATATACCTTTGTTATTGCATCAATTTACAGCTAACTATTTTATATGGATGTAGCATCCATAGATATGGATGGGACGTATTTTTCAATATAATATGGTTGGGACAACTAGATGTATGAATGTGACATCCATTGCTTTTTTTCAGTGTATCTCTTTCTTACAAATTTTTATCCTATACAAGTGATAGCTTATTAAATTATTATAATTTTTATTCTCCTTTTATAGGTCATTTGATTTTTTTTAAATATTGTAAATTTTAATCACTTTTTTTACGCAATTTCACTGCTACAATATTTACAACCTTTATTATAAATGAAGGTTTATTCTAACTTGAATTCAAAATTTCTTGTATGTTAATTAAATCTATCTCTGTTTAAAGAGATTAGAATTTATTGTAAGATTGAGATTAAATGAGATTAAAAGAGATTAAAAAATATTAAAAGGTATAAATTGAGATTAAAAAGAAATCAAGAAGATAAAACAAATAACAGGAAATAAAGATAGATAGATACAGATAGAAAGAGATAGAGAGAGAGATAGACAGAAAGAAATTGAAGGAGATAGAAAGAGACAGAAAAAGGAATCATAAATATTCCCTTCATTAGACTTGACGGAATTTTTGTGGTGTCAAATTAAAAATTATCGAATTTACAATTAGTAGAATTTTAAAAAAGAGATTTTATAATGAGCCCAATTTTAATATCGAAAAATTTTTATTTAACAAAATTTGGATTTTATAGAAATAAAAAGAGACAGGAAGAAATAGAAAGAGATAGAAAAAGACAGAAAGAGACAGTAAGAGATAAAAGAAGAGAGGAAGAGATAGAAAAAGACAGGAAGGGATAAAAAGTGATAGAAAGAGACAGAAAGAGATAAAAGATGATAGAAAGAGATATAAAAAGACACTAAGGGATGGAAAGAGACAGAAAGAGATAGAAAGATACAGAAAAATGTAGAAGAAGACAGATAGAGATAAAAAGACAGGAAGGGATAAAAATTGATTGAAAGAGACAAAAAGATAGAAGAAAAGAGGAAGAGATAGAAAGATACAGAAAAATGTAGAAGAAAGACAGATAGAGATAAAAAGACAGGAAGGGATAGAAAGAGACAAAAAGAGATAGAACGAGATAGAAAGAGACAGAAAAATGTAGAAGAAGACAGATAGAGATAAAAAGACAGGAAGGGATAAAAATTGATAGAAAAAGACGGAAATAGATAGAACGAGATAGAAAGAGGCAAAAAGATAGAAGAAAAGAGGAAGAGATAGAAAGAGATAGAGAAAAACAAAAAGAGATAAAAAGAGATAGAAAAAGACAGAAGGAGATAGAAAAAGACAAGTAGGGTTAAAAAGAGAAGAAATTAATGTTTAAATCTAAGTAATAAAGAAATAATTTAAAAATCAATGTGTAATTTACCATTTTCTGAATCATCGTCTCCATGAGAGTCTTTTACTCTAATATAAGAATTTTGTTTAAAAACATCTCTAAATAAATATTCTGAATTTGTGTTAAACAAATTTTGTATACCCATCTGCAAAAAAATAATGATATTAAAAATTATCTTTTAAAAAATTATACTCTATATACATATATATCTTTACAAGAATTAATATATGATGTATTCTACGCCTTAGTGTAAGTCCATCTGCAATTGATGCATCTCTGATTTTTTTTGAGATTTTTTTTTCTTTTAGTACTAATTGAGACTAGCTTTAATGAATTTTTTCAAATTTTTTTAGCAAGCCATTTTCGAGTTATGGAATTTTGAAAATTGGAGATCGATTTTTTTCAAAATTTTTTCAAAAAAAACAACTTCTTTTTATGAAACTTTTAAGCCTAACTTGATAATAGGCAAACAAGTTTTTACAATATTTTCGAAATTTTTCAAAAATTTTTCGAATTTTTTAAAAATATTTTTGGTTTTTTTTATACTACGTACTTTTATGTATTTTGATGCGCTGATTACGAAAATCATAGTAACAATACCCAAAAATTTGATTTTTATGGTGAAAACCATAAAAAAAGTCCCAAAATTTATGGTCTTTTTCGTATATTGGGTAAAACATGCAAAATTAAAAAAAAGTGTTCAAACAACAGTTATAGATTTTATTAAAATACATTTTTTATATCTGATGCTTTTTTTTTTTAATTTTGCATATTTTACCTAATAAATGAAAAAAAACCACGAATTTTGGGACATTTTTTATGGTTTTCACCATAAAAATCAAATTTTTGGGTATTGTTACTATGATTTTTGTAGTCAGCGCATCAAAATACATAAAAGTATGTAGTATAAAAAAAAACCAAAAATATTTTTAAAAAATTGAAAATTCAAAAATTTTTGATAAATTCCGAAAATATTGTAAAAACAAGTAGTTTTTTTGAAATTTTTTTTAAAAAAATCGATCAGTACGTTAAATGAGAAAAATGACTTTTTATCATTAAAACTCAAAAATTTGATAGTAATATCGTTTAAAAAAAAATTCAATTTTTTTTTTTAAAGTTCGTTTAAAAATACACATTTTGAAAAAAAAGACTTTTAAAATTGATTCATTTTTAAGAAAGTTATGAGCATTCAAAAATTAAAAGTCATAAAAATTCTCCAATTTTCAAAATTCCATAATTCGAAAATGGCTTGCTAAAAAAATTTGAAAAAATTCATAGAAACTAGTCTCAATTAGTACTAAAAGAAAAAAAAATCAGAGATGCAATTGCAGATGGACTTACACTTTGGCGTAGAATACATCATAATTACATATAAAACATCCATTTTTTGAAAAATATTTTAACAATTTTAAAATAATAAATGCACCTTTTTTAAAACTTGAGTAACATCCGTTGTAACGTCAATTTCAAATAGAGGTAAATTTACATCAAGATGAGTTTTTTCATTATTTCGTGTAATCTCTTCAATAGTTAATGATCCCAGAGATTGTTCAACACTTTCAATACCATTTATTTCATGGGGAAGGACAATAAGCATGTAAAAATCATTCTGCACATAAAATTTAATGTCAAATTTCAATAAAGTTAAATTATACTTTAAAATATTTAAAGTTAATATATATATATATAAATTTTATAATAAGCTTTATTACCTTGAAAGGAAGTTCTATAAATGAAGCAGGTATACCAGAAATGTTTCCATGTGTAAAATAACTTTCTAAGCTCAACATTGTGACATAATAATTCATTAATCCAGAAGTAAAAAAAGTTCCTTTAGTTGAACTAATCACAGAATATCGTTCTTCCCATTTAGGATTGAAGCTGATACTAACAGTATAGTTGTCTATGATATGAAAAAATTAACTATTATTATTATTATTATTATTATTATTGCGCCCTAGTATAACTGTAATAACTATTATTTGCAAGATTTCTAAACTTACATAAATATTACTTAAATTTTATATGTAATAATGCAAGAATATTACATGTAATATTAGTTCAATGTTACATGTAATTTCACCTTAATAATAACTAAATATCATGTTAACATTACAATGTAATATTACCTCAATGTTACATGTAATTTTACCTTAATGTTACCTGAATATCACTTTAAAATTACAGTGTAATATTACATAAATATTATCTTAATATAACAATGTAATATTGCATAAATATTACCTTAATATTACCTCAATGTTACATGTAATTTTACCTTAATGTTGCCTGAATATCACTTTAAAATTACAGTGTAATATTACCTTAATATTACAATGTAATATTACATAAATATTATCTTAACATAACAATGTAATATTGCATAAATATTACCTTAATATTACCTCAATGTTATATCTAATATTATACCTTAATTTTAAAGTGTAATATTCCCTCAATCTTATATGTAATATTACCGTAATTTTAAAGTGTAATATTACATCAATGTTAAATGTAATATTGCGCCTAAATATTACCTTAATTCAACATGCAATATTTATGTCGTGAGGGACCTTTGTGTTATATTATTGTAATGTTACTGTAATGTTACGCCGTAATATATCGAATTTTTCATTAAATATTTACTGTGATATTCAAAATATTAAAAAAAAAAAAAATACTCACTCAAGTTCACTATGTTCAAGCTAGTAGCTTGAATTTTATTAGTCACCTCTGCTCTGAAAGTACTATCATTTGAAATTATTCCCTTTGAAAGGTTAAATGTTGAGTCTTTCTAATAAAAATTAAATACATTACAAATAGTGTATTGAGTATATGTATAATATGTAATTGCATGCATATATTAAATGAAAAGAAAAATATTCGCTTACATTTAAAATCTCTAAATAGCAATTGTAATGTTTTTCTATTAAATTTCTATGTATATCAAGAACTGTTGATAATTCGTCAAGTGACTCGTTAGTTGAATTTATTGCAAATAAGGACAAAAGGTATCCAATAGCAAGTGGAGAAATTAAAAGATTTTCTTTCGGTCGTTTTGGAATTTCCTGAAAGTGAAAATTACGTTAATTTATATATATAAACTATTAATTATACACAAAAAAATTGATGTTTTAAGCTTTTGATCAGAGCATGCCCACAGATAGCACGTATAAGCTTGCAGCAACCTTGCGGTAAGCTTACCGCGCAATATTGCCAACCTTGCACGGCAAACTTGCCGCAAGGTTCAAATGTCCCACCTGACCCAAGGTAAGCTTACCATAAGATTACAGTGTAAGGTATAACTGCAAGATTCCTCAGTAAGCTTGCACGTTAATCTTGTAGCAAGGTTGGTGCAAGGTTCCCAAATAACCTTGCTTTGAACCTAAAAATTTTTTTTAATATTTTGGTCTAATTTACATAATTTTATTATATAAATTAGACGAAATATTTAAAAAAAAATGTCCAAGATTAAAGCAAAGTTATTTAGCAACCTTGCACCAACCTTGCTAAAAGCTTACCGTGCAAGCTTACTGAGCAATCTTGCGATAATCTTATTGTGCAATCTTGCTGTAACCTTACACTGCAATCTTTCGGTTGGCTTACTGAGCAATCTATCGGTAAGCTTACAATGCAAGCTTGGGTCAGGTGGAACTTTGAAGCTTGCGGCAAGTTTATCGTTCAAGGTTGGCAATATTGCGTGGCAAGCTTGCCGCAAGGTTGCTGCAAGCTTATACGTGCTATCTGGGTGACTACTTTATGTTTTCGGGGTCGTTGAAACCGAATTTGAAGTCCGTTTAACCCCATTACCTTAAGGTTTTGAAATAACTTAAAAAAAAAGAAAACCTAAATTTTGAAATTAAGGAAAATTTAGAACATTAATTTTTTTTGTGTGCCAATGTTATTAATAAATTAATTTCAATAATTTCAATACTTTATAATTAATTTAATAATAATTTATTATTAATTTATAAATTTTAATAATTTATTTAATTAATTTCAATAATTTCAATTTTAATTTCTATATCTTTTCTTTGAAGATATTTTTTGGTTTTGACATTATTGAATTCAAATGAACTTTATTTTGTATTTCAGGGCTAAAAAAAAAGAAAAAAAAAACTCGTTTTATGTGAGAAGGAGGAGTATAATTATAATTTTATAATTTTTCTTCTAATACTTACCTTATACAATTTAGAACTAAATTTCTCGATATTTTGTGACATGTTATAATCAATTGGCAATTTGCATGGCATGTTGACACTTGCAACAGTGTAAATAAAGGTAATTATAAAGAAGATACACAAAGCTAAAAAAAAATTAAATTACACATTATTATGTTTGATTAAAAGTGAAAAAAATGATTTTTTTAATTTAAAAAATATTTTCTTTTTAACAGAGCAAACCACATATTTTAATATTTATATACTTAATTATTTTTTTTATCAATTTCTTCATTTAGAATTAATTTTTTTTTTTTTGATAAGATTTTTTATTTAAATATAAAATAGTTTAATTTTATAATTTATAATTTTTTTTTAAAAATATTTCGACGCATTTTATTGAAAATAACTTTTTTTCTACTTAGAATATCTTTACATTATAATACTTGTTTAAACATAGAGTCTTAAATAAAAATTTTTTTTCAACTAAAATATATATATTGATTTATCAGACTCAATTCGGTTGTTTCGATAAACTTTTTTTTTATATGATAAAAAGTTTCGTGTAATAATGGGAAATTATTGCATATTTAATGATTATATGGGAATTATGATTGTTGATATTGATTTTTTTCAAAACTTCAATTATTCAAGGTTCATATTGAAAGAAAAATAATCCTTCTTTATTTTTATTTAGTTTTTTTCTATTATTTATTATTTCATTTTTTTATTATTATTTATTATTTATTATTTATATTTCATTTATTTTATTATTTTTATTTATATTTGAATAAAAAATAAATAAAAAATATTTCTATTTCTTTTTTCACAAATAGGAATTAAATTTTTTTTTAATTTATTAGAAAAAAAATATCTCAATTATTTTTATGTAGGTACTTAATTACTGAAAAAAAAATTTTGAAAATTTTATTTTTTTCTACAAAAATTTTTATAAAATAAACTATTTTTAAAATTCAAAAATTAAAAATTGTTTTTTAGAAAATAGTTTCAATATATTTTAAGAAAAAAAAATTTTCTTTTTATAATTCATTATAGTAATATTTAATTTTTTAATTATCAAATTTTATGTCTTAAATAAATTTTTTTTAATATTTTAATAATAATAATAAAAATAAAAAAAAAATTATAATTTGTGATTTAAATCAATTAGGTTTGCTATTATTAATTTCATTACTAAATCATTATTCGATATGATAATTATTTATGTTTAAATTTTTATTTTATTACTAATATTAATTTATTTAAATAATATAAATTTTATATTACATTTATTTTTTAATAAATATTCAAATATATTCATACTATAAGTTATATAAAAAAAATACAAATATTTAAATGAAAAATATAAATTTATGAATAATAATTAATTGTAAAATATTAATACTGGAATTGGGGTACAAAAGTAATAATAATAATAATAATAAACTTATTAAAATTAAATAAATTTTTCAATAAAATTTTAATTAATTAATTAATTAACACAGTCCTTTATAGTATAATTTTATATAATATAAAGCAAAAAATTTTTTCGACACACTACTTAAAATTCAAGGTCCATATTATAAATTTAGAAATCTATCAAATTGAAATCCACCAATAAATGTTGCGCAAACTTTTATATTAGAAAAAAAATACGTTTTCCAATTATTGCACATCTGTTCAAATATCTTTATAATTTTTTCAGACACGTGTTGAAGTTAATATATTAATTAAAAGGAAAAAAAATTTTTTTTTTATTACTTTACTTTTTTATTTGCATACACTAATTGCAAATTTTTTTTTCAAATTTTTATATTCATTTCGAAGTAAAAATTAATTATTAAATTATTATTTAGGAAATATTCAATTTAGAAATTAAATATTTAAAATACACATAGAAAAAAAGAAAAAAAAAATTTTTTTTCTCTTTACCACTGTAATTTGCAAAATATCAAATATATTTATATATTTATATGTAATTTATAATATTTATAATAAAATATAATTATTTTAAAAATTATAAAACATAGGGTAAAAATATTTTTTTATGTATTTTCAGAATTAAAATTAATTACAATATAATTTTTTTTTTTAATTTAAAAATTTAGTTACAAAAAATGTGCAATTAAAACATTCTTTTTTTAAATTTTGTGAAAAATTATAAAATTGCAAAAATAAATTTTAAATTCAAAATGCCAAAAAAAATTGTCACTTTTAAAAATAAGATAAATTTAAATTCTAATTTAAACATAATATTTTTTGAATTATATATATTAAATTTTGTTTTTTACTGATAATGATAAATAATTAATATTATTGTCAAGAGAAATTTTTTTCTAATAATATAAATATAAAACATTTTTTTTCAATTAAAATTATAAAAAAAATAAACACATTTTTTACAATTAAAATTATTAGAAAATTATTTTAAAAAAGTAAAATTATAAAAATTAACATTTTTTTTTCAAATAAAATTAGAAAAATTTTTTGAAAAAATAAAATTATAAAAATAAACCATTTTTTCAAATAAAATTATTAGAAAAATTTAAAAACAATAAAATAAAATTATAAATATAAACATTTTTTTCAAATATAAAATTATTAGAAACTTTTTTTAAAAAATAAAATTATAAAAATTTTTATTTTGTCAAAAAGGAGTGTAAAAATTAATTTTTTTTTAAATAAAGTTATTAAAAGTAATTCTTACATAAACGCATTTTTGATGATTCGAGTAATTTCATTTGACGTGTTCAGCAAATAAATGTGTATATTGAACTAACGTTCATGAAATGAATAAATTTACTGATTAAAAAAGTGATCTGTACGCGATGTTTTATGTGTATTTATACATTTACAAAATTTTAACAATATTTCCATAAATTGGGTAGGAAATTTATTCTGATTGGTTCATGAGTTTTGAATTAATGGAATAATTTCTTATTTCAAACTGTAAATTAAAGTCGTACTAACATTATAGTTAACATCACGTCTATATTAACTTATCAAAAAAAAAGAAGAATATTTGTGACTGTGGTTACTACCTACAATATAGTTTTAAAAGTTGGTCACGTCAGGTTTTATTCTTGAAAATAAGGGTTGCCACATTTTCATTCTATTAAAATTCCCTATAAGACTTTTCCAGGACAAAAAACGGTATTTTTCCATGTTAATTATAAAAAACTTTTTCCCTAGAACAGAAAAGAAAATTATAAAATTATAAAAATTAATTTTATGAATAGTTAAAATTTTTATTTCATTTTTTTAAAATATTTTTTCTTTGCAAATAAAATTTTTTTTAAAACAATTTCAAAATTTATTTTTAAATAAAAATATTTTATTAGGATATAATTATATTTTAGACGAATTATCACATTTTTCGAATTTTAAATTTGAGAGGGATTTTTTTTATACGAATTTTTTTACATAATAAAAAATTTTTAGCTATCGAAACATTTTTTTTTTCATTCAAAAATTTAAATTCGCATTTATAATTTCGTTAAAATCAGTTTTTATCAATAAATAAATAAGAAAAAATTTTTTTTTTTCTATTCATGATGAAATTTACGTAAACGTTATACTAATATATATATAGCGAAAAAAGATTTCGCAAAATACGTCACACGTGACGTTTTTTGTGTGTAATAAATTTTCGTAAGCATCGAGAGTATTTGTAATTTATATTCATAAAATTATAACGGTAAATCAAAACCGGTTCAAATTTCATTCCGCTATGATTATTTTTAGAATTTCCTAAAAAAAAATTTTTTAATATATCTCTATTTCTCTTTTTAATTTGAATATTTGCGGCGTCTAATTTTATGGGACTACAAAAATATGATTCAGATTTTGGACAAATTTTGAATTTGTAAAATCTATTTTCAGATTTTTAATCAGTAATTCTAAAAAATTTCAAAGAAATTAATTTGATTTTCTAAAAATTGTCCGATATTTTGAATTTTGAAAATCTGTCCTCAGAATCTAAAATTAGTAATTAGAGATTATAAAAATTATAAAAATAAATAATAATAAACAATAAATGTCAATAAAAAATACTTACCCGTTTATATGATAGAAGTGAAAATATACAAAGAGGATTTTATATTCTCACACTCTTTGAATATTTTTTATTTTTGTAATATAAATTCTGTTCATACAAAAATCAAGACATGTAAATTTCTTATTATTATGTATTTTAAAAATATAAATATATGTACAAGTAGTCTTGAAATCAATTTTTCTTTAAAAAAAAAAAATCCGTAAAAAAAAAGAACGTGACAATTATAAAATATATATATATATATAATTTAAAAATTGTATTTAAAAAAAATTTTTTTGTAAATTTATTTCTTATATAATTAAGACTTCCTTTTCTCAGCAATGAAATCGGGACGTCGATGAGACGCTGGAGAGTCACTGACACTCACTTCTTCGTCTTCAATTTCCAAACTATTTAACCTGCGAAAGATAAATTTGTTTTTTTTTTTAAATTGTATAATAAAATCTACATCTAATTAAATTTATTTTGTAAAATTTTTAACTTTTAATTTTATTTTAAAGTATTTTCTATTAGAAATAATTATTTTTTAAACGAATTTCCAATTTTCGAATTAAAAATTTGAATTTAATAAGACGTTGAATTTTCATTTGTTCGAAATTACAAATGACCGAACAAAAAATCAAACAGAAAGATTTTTTTAGCGCAAGTTTTGAAATTGACCAATTAGAAATTATCATCAAAAATCGTGATTGGTCAATTTTAAAAATTGCGCCGAGAAAATCTTTCTTTCGATTGTTTGTTCGGTCATTTGTAATTTCGGACAAATATGAAAATTTGTACAAATTAAAATTCGTTGAAATCGAATTTCTCTCAATTTAAAAATTCAAATCAGATAAAATTCAATTGAATGCGAGAAAATTGGGTAAATTAAAATTATCTTAAATAAAAAAATTTTATAAATTAAATGACTAGAAAATAAAGATTCTGCCAAATAAAATTTTTTTAAAGTAAAAATTCGCATATAAAGAAATTCTGTCAAATGCTAATTTCGTAAAATGAAAATTTGTCTGAAAAAAAATAATTAAATTGAAATAAATGAATTGCAAATAAATTTGCTAACGGAATCTCTTGATTGTTATAAAATATTTTTCATGATTTTTATTTAAATATATATATATATATATATATATATATAGGTCGTTAAAAAAAAAAAACTTACTCGTCTTGCTCGAGACTGTGCAGCATTTGAAATCCTGCATCGAGACTTGGAGGAAATCCCATGTCAGGATCAAGAAGTTGAAGCGTTGGCACTTCCCGATCGCTAATATTACCAAATTCATCCAATTCTTGAAATTGAAATCTACTTGCAATTTCATCTAATTCCATTCTGTAAACAATTTGAAAAAATTAATTTTCATTATTTATTCAAAATATTCATTTTTTTCCTCCACTTTAGTAATACTAAAAACATTACAATAGTAATAATAATAATAATAATAATAATAATAATAATAATAATTTTTGAATATTTTTTGAATTTAAAAATCGTAAATATTATAATTGTTTTTTTTGTGCTGTTCTAGCACAAAAATTTTTTTTTTTTTGAAAAATAATAATTTTCGAATGTTTTGGGTTAAAAAATCGTTTTTTGAATTTAAATTTGAATTATTTAGAATTTTTGAGCTGAAAAATGTTTTTTTTTTAATTCGAGTCCTAATCATTATTTTTTTAAAACAATTTTTCCAGTATAAATTAGCTGAAAAATTAATTTTTTGAAAAAATAAAATAACTTCTTGCATATTATGAACAAAATTAACTAGAATAAGAGTTTAAATTTTTTTAAAGAGTTTTTTTTGTTAAGACCAATTTGTCTCAACTGAAAAAACTTTCAAGTATAGAATATTAAAATAAATAAATGAAAATAACTCACTTTGTATTGTTAGCATTAAGTTCCGATATTTGTTTCTCCATAGCTCGTTCAACTTTTTTCTTAACATGTTGCTCGAAGCCTAAAATTGTATTTTGATAATAACTGTGTATTCCTTCGACACCACCAATTCCCGATTCAACGAGTACTCTCTCCATTGCATCCTAAAACAAAAATTATTAAGAAATTATTAATAATTTTTTTAATTAGAACTTTGAAAAAAATATGAATCAAAAAATTTTCGAAAAACAAAATTCTATATTAAAATAGTGCGAAAAGAAAAGAAAAAAAAAGAAGTTACCGGAAATCCATAATCGTCTTGTTCAGAGGCAAGTTTCAATAGGCGACATATTCTCGTGAGAAAATAATCAGCAACATCAGTTAGTGTTTCAACAGCAACGTCTGATGATTTTGCATAACCAATATGAGCCAATAGAACAATAACCGAATGCTTCAATAAACTACGAGCAGTTTCCGGTCTCAGCTCTATTGTTGGATAATTTTTTTTGAAATTATTCACAAAACACCTGTATTCAAAAGAGAATTAATTATTTACAAAATTTATTTTCATTTCATAAAACGATCAATTTCAATAATTAGATATTAAATAATAAATTATTTTACTATTATTATAAAGTTATTAAAATTGCAAAATACAAAAAATATTTTTTAAAAATATTCCTTTCCTAAATTTAGTTTAAAATTTTTATATTTTTAATATTTTCTAACAAAAGAAATTTCTTGTTATTGAAACTTTTTATGGTATAATAGCAAAATTAAACGCGCGCAAGCGCGCCAAATTGAGTATTTAATTGTTTGTTATAAAGAAATTAAAGATTAATATTATCAATAATAATTTAATCTATTAGAATATTATTACATATTAAATGATAATAATGAAAATTAAATGTTCACAGGCCTCGGATTATACGACTTTTTCCGACTTTTTTCAAAAATACGACTTTTATCGACTTATTTTAATAAAATGCGATATTTTTTTTAAATTTGAAAAAAATGTAAATAAAATACATTTTTTAGTATAAAATGTAGATCTTCTTCAGATCTTCCTCAATACAATTATTTAACAAATTTTGAACTAAAATGATTCTTCACTAAATTAAATTAATTCAAAAATGAACTTAAATTAAATTGTTATCCAAAATTTCAATTAAAATTCAATTATTTTCCAAAATTTTCAATTCAAAATGAACTGAAATTCAATTATTTTCCAAATTTAAAATCAAATAAAATTTCATTATTCTCAAAAATTTGAATTCAAAATTAATTAAATTTTCAATAATTTGAATTTAAAAGCCTCTAAAATTTAATTATTTCTAAAATTTTCCATCGAAAATTTTTTTTTTGAAATTTAATAATTTCAATTATAACTCTAAGGAAATTCAATTATTTTTAACTATTTTAATAATATTCTTTGAAATTTCAACTATCTGAAACCATTTTTCAATTAAAAATGATTTTCAAATTATTGTATTTTGTCCGCATTTTCTAATAAATTTTTAGTGAAATCATCTAAAATTTTAATTACAAAACATTTAAAGTTTCAATTAATTTCAAAAATCTCAATTTTAAATCTTTGAAAATTCAATTAAATTTAAAAAATGTTTTCCAAAAATTGTTTGATAAATTATTTTTAGTTCTGTAAAATTTAATAATTTGTTTGAAAATTAAATTTGAAATTGAAATCTTTTGAAATTTAATTATTTCTAAAAATTTCAACTTTAACCCTTCGAAAAGGATTATTATTAAAAAAAAATTTTTATTTAAAAATCTGTAAAATATTTTTGTTAAAATAAAAAACAAATCCACTTTTTTTGGAATATAAATCGACTAAAACGACTTTTTGTGTCTTTAAGTTGATTCGAGGCCTGTGTTTTTATAATTAATATTTAATAGGTATTCGTTGGCCCCTGGTACCTTAAAAATTAATTTTTAAAAATAAATTTTTTTCATATTACTATCTTGTACGAAATTTCCTGGCGCATTTTTTTTCTCATTATAAATTTTTTGTATTTGTATAGAATTTTTGAATCAATATACAACTTTAAAAAAAATTTCGTTGGTAAACGTTGTGTACTTCAGCTTCGTGAATTGAATTTTCGAATTTGGAATTTTAAAGAAACTTATTTCGAAATTTCGAAACACAATTATACAACTTTGGCAAAAATGAGAAAAAGAATTGTCAAAATTTGACACGTCATAAGATTACTATTCAAAAAAACACGTGAAATCAAAAAAGGCCAACTTCAAGTTAGAACAATTTTAGGACATTTTATTATTATATAATATTACAAAATTATTGACCTTTTTAGAAATTATTAAAAAAAATTCTACATAACTAATTTCGTCATTAAATCTTACCTTCTTGGTCGAGGATTTAAAAATCCAAAAAGATTTTTTGATTCCATTGGAGGTGATTCATCTTCGATACATGTTATATTTTTTAAAATTTCACCATCGTCCTAAAATAAATTGCAAAAAAAATTCATTAAAAACAGAAATAATGTTAAATTTATAAACAAAATAAGGAAATGAAATATATTTTTAATTCTTACCATTGACCTCATTTGTTGATGATAATTAATTGTATTTAATACATGAATATTTCCCAATGGCATACTGGAGGAATAAAAAAAAAATTTCAATTTTAATTACATGTAAAAAAAAAAATTAAAAAGAACTTCAAATTTTTCAAATTCTTTTATTTTAAATTTTATTCTAATTTATTATTTGTTATTAATTAATTATAAAACATTAAATATTATATTTTTATTTACAAAAAAAAAATTCATTTCATTTTTTTCTGTTTTATTTTAAGAAATGTTTTTTGATACTTTTATTTAATTGAATTTTTAATTAATAAAATTTTCATTTCAAACAATTTTATTCTAATTTAACTATTTCATGGAATCTTTAAATTGTTTGGAATTTTTATTTACAAGAATATTGTCAGTATTTTTTAAATGCCTTTTCATTTGTCTAAATAAATTGATATACTCACAGAACATAATCTTTTTCCTCTTTATTGTCAACTGAATTGTCAGCGTTTGCTTCTAAAACTTGCCGCCAAATATTTTCAATAATATCGGGAGTTATTACTTCTTGATTATGAAGTTCACGAACAGGCAATTCACCCCAATGAGTTCCTGTTAAAGTGGTTTTACTTGGCTTCATTTTTATCACTGTAGAACAAAAATTAACAACTTTTGAGTGTGATAAAAATTAATTTTTTTTTAGAGAGAATTTTTATTTTATTTCTCAAAAACAGGCCTCGGATCGACTTTAAGGCACAAAAAAAGTCGATTTATATTCCAAAAAATCGATTTTTTTTATTTTAACAAAATTTAATTGGTTAATGAATTTTTTACTTTAAATAACTAATGTCATTAGATATTAAATTCATTTTATTAATTCTGTAATGAAAATAATTCTATAAAAATATTATCAAGAAAATTTATTTCCAATTATTTCGGAATCGAACAAATTATGAGGCAAATTTTCAAAATTTTATTTAAGTTGGACAAATTTCTAAAAAAAATTCTTAAAGTTCCATTTTTATAATTTTTTCAATTCTGATTTAATCAATTTATTCGAATTAAAAATTTTGTCATAATTTTTAGTTTTGTTGATCAAAAAAAATTTCAGGCAATACTTAATCAAGTTTTACAGATTTTTAAATAAAATTTTTTATTTTTAAATAATAATTTTGAAAGAGTTAATGTTGAAATTTTTAGAAATAAATGAATTTCAAAGGATTTTGTTCATTTTCAGACAATAATTAAATTTTATAGAACTGAAATAATTCATCAAATAATTTTAGATAACATTTTTTAAAAGTAATTGAATTTTCGAAAGATTTATAATTTAGATTTTTCAAATTAATTGAACTTCAAGTGATTTTTAATTTAAAATTTTTGATGATTTAACTAAAAAATTTATTAGAAATTGCAGACAAAAATACAATAATTTGAAAACTTTTTAAATGAAAAATGGTTTCAAATGGTTGAATTTTCGAAGAATATTATAAAAATCATTAAAAATAATTATATTTCAGTTGAAATTATTAAATTTAAAAAAACATTTCTTGGAAAATTTTAGAAGCTTTTAAATTGAAATATCCAAAAATAATTGAATTTTAATTTTAATTGATTTTAAATTAAACTTTTGAAAAAAATTGAATTTAATTGATATTTAAATTAAAAATTTTGAAAATATTAAATAAATTAAATAATTAAATATTAAAAATATTAAAGTATTAAATAAATAAATAAAATAGTTGAATTTCAATTGAAATTTTGAAGAATAATTGAATTTTGGTTGATTTTAAATTGAGATTTTTAAAAATAATTGAATTTTAATTGATTTTGAAGTTACATTTTTGAAAAAAATTGAATTTAACTGATAATTAAATTGAAAATTTTGAAAATATTTAATAAATTAAATAATTAAATATTAAATATATTAAAATAAATAAACAAATAAATAATGTATTAAATAAATAAAATAATTGAATATCAATTAAAATTTTGGACAATGATTGAATTTTGGTTGATTTTAAATTGAAATTTTTTTAAATAATTGAATTTTAATTGATTTTAAATTGAAATTTTGGAAAATAATTGAATTTTAATTGATTTAGAATTAAAATTTTTGAAATTAATTGAATTTTAAGTGATTTTTATTTTAAAATTTTTGATAATTTTTTTTAGAATTTTTTTATTTATTTATTTATTTTTTTTTTTTAGAAATTGCAGGCAAAAATACAATAATTGGAAAACTTTTTAAGTGAAAAATGGTTTCAGATAGTTGAATTTTCAAAGAATAGTATACAAATCATAAAAAAAAATTGAATTTCAGTTGAAATTATTAAATTTTAAAAAATTTGAGATGGAAAATTTTTGGAAATAATTAAATTATAGAAGTTATTAAATTGAAATTTTTAAAAATAATTGAATTTCAAAATATTGTGTTAAATTTCAGACAATAATTATAATAAAAGAAATTTTTTAGTGATTTCTGTTGATGAAGAATTTATTAGAAATCACATAAAAAAATTGAATTCCACAAGTTTTTAATTTGAAAAATGCTTTCAGATAATTGAATTTTCGAAGAATATTATAATAATCATTAAAAGTAATTGACATTTTTGCAAATAATTAAATTTCAAGTGATTTTGAATTAAAAATTTTTTGGTAATTTTATTTGCTAATTTTTTTTTTAATTATAAACAATTATTAAATTTCATAATAATTTTAATTGAAAAATAGTTTTTAAGATAATTTGAATTTGTGAAGAATTTCATTAAAATTATTAAAAATAATTAATTTAGTGAAGAATTTTAGTTAAAAATTTGTTAAATAATTGAAATAAAAAAAATCAGAAGATTTGCATTGTATACTAAAAAAACGTATTTTATTTAAATTTTTGTTTTTAAATGTTAACAAAAAAGTCGAAAAAGTCTCATTTTATTAAAATAAGTTAAATAAAAGTATTTTTTGAAAAAAAATTGGAAAAAGTAAAAAAAAAGTCTTATAATCCGAGGCCTGTATTAATTAATTTTAGTTTAAATTAATAAAACCAATTTCATTATTGTTAAATTCTACAGTGATATTAAATACAAACAGTTCGAAAAAAAAATTAAATCAGTTTTTTTTACTTAATTTTAACAAATAATTTTTTAATAACTTTTTTACATTTTTTATTTTATTATTTTTATCTAATAAAATATTTTTATTATTTACATATAATTGAAAATACAATAAACTTTTATATATAACATTTAACATAACCTAAAAATTACTTATAATTTTGTTTACTCACCTATGTGTATTTAAAAAAAATAATCTGTAAATAAATAGAAATTTTGATAAATAAAATTATTTAACAAAAATATATTAATTACTACTATTTGTCATTGTTTCGTTTGTAGATCGATTTTTTCTAGATATAAAGATAAGGTTTTCGGTAAATTTGTTTCTTATTTTAAAAGATGAATTTTAGTTTTCGCGCTGCAAACGCGCGATGATGACGTTCGAGACAAGTCATCTGTGAGAAATAGTTCGTAAAATCTCTATATTTTTTCATTAAAGAAAAGAAAAAAAACAATTTTAACACGATTGGATATTACATGAAAAATTAAATTTTCCAAAAATAAATCAACTATTTGCACTATTTACTATTATTATTATTGGTAGAATAAAATTTAACAATTGGAATTAATTTATTTGTAAACAACACAATTTTGAAGTGACAAAAACGACACACATAACAAGTGACATTCATTTTTAGGTTAAGTTTTGTTTTTCTCGTGCAATTATAAATGCGCATGCGTGATTGTTAAAATAAAGCGCGGTTTATCCTTTTTTTTGAAATTTACATTATCATCAATAATTTTTGAAAATTGTTTTTTGGATTTTTTATAAATATTGTGAATGAAATATTATTATTGCTTTTATTTGTAATAATGGAAAATGCAGCGGCAAACATTTTACAACGTGCAGTTGAAATGGATAAAAAAGAACAGTATACAATGGCTTTGGTACTTTATCAAGAGGGATTGGAAATTCTTGTAAATTCAATCAAAGGTATTAATATACTCAATTTGAGAATATTCTTTTTTTTACGTTCACTAGGCAATAAAATAAGGGAATAATTTTTCAATTTTTGAAATATTTAAATTTTGTTCTCAAACATTGGATGAAAAATTTTTTTTTTTAAATTTGTATCTTTAAATAAATAAATAAAATAAAAAAAGAATAATATATATATATATATATATATATATATATATATATATATATATATATATGTCTGTTCTAGAATTATTAAAAGTAATAATAATTAATGTTGAATTATTATTTACTTAAAATATTTTTATTTTATTTTCATTTATTTATTTTAAAAAACAAATAAAAATAAAAAAAAACTAATTAAATTAATAGAAATAAAAAATAGAGATAATAAAAAAAAAATTTCAAAGTAATTTTAATTTTTGTAAAATAAATAATTTTTAATTAAAAATTGATTAACAGTTAAAATTCGCGTCACTGTTTAAATAATTTAATAATAAAATTCTAATATTAATGGCGCTTTTTGGGACTAATATTAAGAAAAAAAAAGTCTATATCTTTTTTATTTTTAGTACCAAAAAGTGAAATAAGAATTTTATTATGAAAAATAATTTTAGATATTGAAATCATAAATTTTATATATTATAAATAAATTAAAATAAATTAAAATAAAATATATAAAACATAAATAAAAATTGAAAAAATATATTATAATTAATTAAAATAAAAAAAAAAATAAAAAAAATATTACAAAATAATTAAAATACATAAATAAATTTTATATAGAGACAACAGATCAAACGAAGAAAAAACATTTTCAAGGAAGAGCCTCACAATATATGGACAGAGCAGAAAGAATAAAATCATTAATTGAAGATAGAAAATCACGTGGAAAATATCGAGAGCAAATAAAAATTGAAAATGGATCATCAGGTTATGGTTATGGTTCAGTTTTTGGTAGATTTTTAGATGCTAGTGTCACTCAAATTCAAATTGAAGATCCATATATTCGATCTTTTCATCAGGTAAATATAAAAAAAAGAAAAAAAAAATTATTTTTCATAATTTATTCAACTTTCATATAAAATCATTGAAAATATTTTTTTTTACTCTTTTATTCAATTTATATAATAGTAAAAAAATTATAATAATAATATTATAAATTGAGTTTTTTTCGATTATGTGTTTCATTTTTCACTTCCAATAATCGAAAAAAACTCTATTTATAATACAAAATAATGGAGGAAAAAATATTTAATATTTATAATAATAATAATAATAATAATTTTAAATATTTAGTGTCAGAATTTAGTAAGATTTTGCGAATTGGCCGTACAAAAATGTCATTCACTCACGAAAATAAATTTAATTACAACAAGAGATTCAACGGAAGATGTGAAAAATCAATTTGCAAGATTGGATGAATTGGGAAAAAGTTTATTAAAGCGATCTATAAATTTGCTAATAGACTATTCGGAGACATTACACGATCGAAGAATTACGTAAGAAAAATTTATTTTTTAATTTCAATATTCAAAATTAAAATATATTTTATTTTCAATATTTTAAAATGACTTAGCAAAAGAGAAAATTCTAATTTTTTTTTTTTGCATAAAAATAAAATGGAATTAAAAAAAAATTAATTTGTTAAGTATAAAAAACAGTCCTAAAAAAATGTTTATTCATTTTTTAATCACATAAATAAAATATCTTAATTTTTAAAAAAAATTTTTATTTTAGATTGAGCAACGGTTGGGTTATTAAAATAGGTAGAGGTCTAGATTATTTTAAAGCTCCCGATGGAAAATTCTCATTGGGAGCTTGTGATCTTGAACTTAGATCTTGCCTCGAAACAATCGTTGATATTTATCATCAAAGTCACCTACAAGACTCAGTCAATTAATAATAATAATAATAATAATTATTATTATTATTATTACTATTAATAAATATTATTAATAATTTTAATAATAAATAATTAATATTATTATTATTTATATGTAATAACTCCAATAAGTATTCAGCAGGAAAATTTGATTTTATTTTCAAAACTACAAAAAAAGCGTATTTTTTTTTTTATTAGAAAAAATTAAATTGTTTTCTTTTAAAAATAAAATGATTTTTAGATATTATAACTTTTTCAAAAAGTAAATACATACTTGTATTTCTAATTATATATTTTTTTATAATTATAATGACAACAATCATTGGTTTGAATATGTATCTTGCGCCTATATAGATGCAGAATGTAAATATTTTGTATTAAAAAAAAAATTAATAAAAACGATTTTTATTCTAAAATATGACCAATGAATTTATTGTTAAATTCACAATATTATTAATTTTATAATTTATAATAATAATTTAATTTTTTTCACTTTTTTATATAAATATAAAAATAGAAAATTAATATCATTGGCAAATTTTATTTTTTTTTCATTATACAAATTATTTTGACATTTTTTCAAATAATAAGAGAATTTTTTAATTATAATATAATATTGTCTAATTATATTTCCAATTTCGTCGACGCAGTTGTATATATCTCACCAAATTTTGCATTAAATTTTTTATAGTAATATTAAATTTTATTTTTCTCCATTTGTGTATTTATTGTAAGGTTTTACAATTTTCCAATTTTGCTTTGATAAAATGGCTAAAAAAATAATAATATTAATAATAATCACATACTAATATTTATTTAATATTTAAATTCATTTTAATAATATTTTAATACCAATATTTTTATTTAATATTATTTTAAATAATTCTGTAAAAGTAGAGGCGATTATTTTTGAATGAAATAAATTTTTTTAATTTTATAATTTTATAATTTAAAATTTTTTTTTGGAAATTAATTGTAAATTAAATAATATTACAATATAAATGTGTTATACATACACGCTGTCGATTGTTTCCTAAAGGTGGACAGGCCATTAGTGTGCACATTGCTGTCATACCATCATCTGAGCAAACGCATTCATTGCAATCTTGCTTAAATCTTGAACCTGGTTTGCATCTCATCCCACAACCAGACGCTAAATAATTTAATTGTTTATTATTATTTATTTATATACAAATAAATAATTTATTTGTTCATTATTAATTATTTATTTACATATAAATAATTTAATTAAATAAAAATAACTTAAATAAAATATGAATTATATGTTCTAAAAATCATTAGTTAAAATTTTCATTTTATAGAATTTCATTTCTCATAATTATTTTTGAGCCGAATTTTTATTTGTTCGAATTAGTATTTTACAGAAGTTGCATTAAAACGATTTTCTATATTACAGAATTTTTATATAACCGAAAAATTCACTTCACACAATTTTTATTTGTTAGAATTTTTATTTGTCAGAATTTTTATTTTTTCGAATTTTCATTTAACACAATAGGCATTTTAAAGTATTTTTTATTGGGTAGAATTTTCATTTTATTCTTTCAGATGAATTTTCATTTTTTTGAATTATTATTTGATATAATTTCCTTATTAACCGATTTTTCATACTACAGAATTTTTACTTAACCGAAAAATCATTTAACAGTATTTCTAATTGATAGAATTTTCATTTGTCCGAAATTGCAAATTCAAAAAAAAATGAAAATTCATCTGAAAGAATAAAATGAAAATTCTATTCAATTAAATTCTACACAATAAAAAATACTTTAAAATGCCTATTCTGTTAAATGAAAATTCGAGAAAATAAAAATTCGAACAAATAAAAATTGTGTGAAGTGAATTTTTCGGTTATATAAAAATTCTGTAATATAGAAAATCGTTTTGATGAAAATTCTGCAAAATACTAATTTGGCTCAAAAATAATTAAGATAAATGAAATTCCATAAAATGAAAATTCTAACTAATTATTTTTGAAACATATTCACGCGTCTCATAAATATTATAATTTATTTTAATAATATTCAAATTTTAATTATAAAAATTATTTACAAAATTATATACATAATTTATTTATTTAAAGATTTACGGACAAAAAGCGCAAATATTTACTGTTTTTAAAAACTCTGTTATTTTTAATAATATTTTTTATTTGTTTTATATATATATTTATTTATAAAAATTAAATAATTAAAATAATTTACCAGTGACAAGTGCCAATGCAAAAACAACGAAAACAAAAAGAGCCAAAAATTTCATTATTATTAAAACTGTTGAAAAGTGTACAAAAAAATAATTTGTTTTTAAAAAAGAGACACTTTATTTTCAATTTGTCGTTATGGAGGTAAATGAATATTCTTTGTAAACTTCAAGTCCTATTTATATGCAGAAAAAAAAAGTTTGTTTTTTTATTTCTTCCTTGAAATGAAAATCTCTCGATTTGGAGAAAACATACTAAGTGCGTTTTATCTTGCAGTTTTATCAGTTGAGTATACAGGAATAGTAAAAGTTTACATTATAATGACAATAATTTTTATAAAACAAAAAAATTTTTATTTTATAAAAAAATGGATAATTTTTTTCGTGAAATAAAATATTATTAAAATATATTTAATGAAATTTATCAAAATATATAATGAGTTTTTTTTTTTATCAATGTGACATACAATTGCAACAATAAATTATTGCGAAATTTTACTGGCTTTAAAACCTTCTCTACTCTGAATTTTGAATGCTTCTTGAAAAAAAAGATTAATTGATAAAAAAAAAAAATTCTACGTAAAGTTGCTATACAGATGGGGAATTTCACCGGTGAAATTTATACCTATAACCTTTTAAATTCAGGACAAATATAATATTTTAAATGATATCGAATTTTTTGTTTTTGAAAGTTTTTCTAATGTTTATAGAATTTCTTATTATGAAAATTATGCTTTTTATCATAATTTCCACGACTTGAATATACTTTTTATTATATTTATTAATAATAGTTATTATTATTATTTTATTATATTAATTATAAAATTAATTAATTAAATTAATATATTAATTAATTTTATCAAGATCTTTTTTATCACATTTGAATTTTCGCACCTTTTTAATTTGGACCAATCGTCATTAAGATATTTGAGAAAACCTTTTTACCGATCGTCAAAATCGTTTTTTTTTTTGCAATGTTTTTTAGTGATGTTCATTTTTTATTGGTTGGCAACGAAATCTCCTAGCTAGGAAACATACAACCAGAAACTGGGGCTATTCTGGTACACCAGGAGCTATTATGGTACAAGATAGTTTTTAATTTGTAAAATATTAATTTCGAAATATTAAAATTTGACATCTAGCTATAATTGTAGTGTTACAATTTGGCAACAAAGTTACTGTAATGTTATTAGTAAATTCGGTTTTAGAAATCAAAAAAATTTATAAAAACAAAAAAAAATTTATTGGAAATTGGGAAGTTGTGTGAAAATCTATACCAATAATACAGCATTATAAATTATTTTATGAAAATTCATTTCCCAATAAGTAGAAAAAAAATTTCTGTGCTTCGATTTTATACACAAATAATTTATTTTTGTATCAGAAAATTGAAAATAAGTCAATTATAAAATTATAATTTTACAAAGGGGAAAAAACATAACCTTAAAAAGTAAGATTATTATAATTTTACATGGTTTTCAAGTTAATTTAAAAACTTTATTAAAACCATTTTTTAAATTACCATTTCTAACCTAAAAAAAAATTCAGTATAATTATATTATATTAGTATATTATTATTTATATATTAAAATTCCTTTAAAAAATTATTAACAGCCCTGTAAAAAAGAAAGAATTGTACGATAGCGGTTTTCGAACTGGATCCGCTGGTGTTTTTTGAATTCGAGAAAAGCAAAATTGACGAATAGGATCGATTTCTGAATTCGGAAATTGTACACGCAGAAAAAATATTTTTTTGATTTAAAAAAACCTATTTCTTTGACTTGTTTTCTTTTATTCAAAATAAAATTTTCTTTGAAACAAAAAAAGCTTCTTAGTTTCAAAGAAAATTTCTTTGCTTCAAAGAAATTTGTGCGCATTAAATCAAAGAAATTGTAACATTTATATAGGGTCAAAGAAACATTTATTTGAATTAAATAAAAAATTTCTTTGAAATGAAGTCAATTTGTTTGAAACAAATAAATTTTCTTTTTATCAATGAAAAATTGATCAAAGAAATCTTTTTTTTCTGGGTGTATAGATCCAATTCGTAAAACTTTTTAAGCGTGAAAATAGAGAAAATTAAGCTGTACAGTGCACTAAAAAGCAATTAAATGTGATAATACTAATGAAGGTAAAAAATACTGTTTGTCAAGTGATTTTGTCAATATTAAATAAAAAAAAGGAATGTTGAAAATATGACGTGATTCCAATTCGAGAAACGATGAAGCCCAATTTACAGAAAGAAAATTTTCTCTGCGTTAAGGGTAACAAAAATTGCTTACTTACCGAAAGCGATTATATGAGAGTAATTATTATGATAAAAAATACATATATATGTATTTTTTTATTCTACCTACAACAATGATATTTTTTAAAAATTACACAATTCCTAATTTCTCTGATATAATAGAATTATTATTTTTAATTAATTTTATACATAACAATTTTCAACAATATTATATTATGTTTTTCTTATTATTTTAATATTCAATTTTTGTTATAAATATATTTTTAATAACATTTAATTAATAATTGAAATATTTTTTAATTTATTCAATTATTTTTTAACTTTACCTTATTCAATTTTTATTCATTTTTTTTATTTTCATTTATTTGAATATTTATAAATTTAATTTGAATTATTCAAATATTATTTTTTGTTTTTAATTTTCCGATGATGAATTTTTTTGAGCTTTCTTAATTGTCGAGTTTGTTTATTAACGACTAATTTGATATTTAACAAGTAACAAGTAACAAGTAATTTTTTATGTTTACAATGGTTTCAAGGTTTCTTGTAAAAAAATTTAAATATTTTGTAATAGTTTTTTTTACAAAAATGCTCATAAAAATAAAATAAGTAAATAAAATATATTTATTTATAAAATAAAATTAAATAAATTTTATTTAATCTTTTTCACATTGCCAGCAAGTAAAACCGCACCGTCGCTATTATTAATTCCTTTTTTAATTATTTTGTAATGGAAAGGACGATTAACTACAAGTTGGGAAGGCAGCTCATTAACTAAAGTTTCGGAAGAAAAACCTACAATAAAATATTCCAATTAAAATAATATGCCTTTTTATCATAAAATAAATTTACCTATACTGAAAAAAATTCAATTCAAATAATCGATTACTTGACTTATCATCAAATAAATATTTATTTGTATTAAATAATTATTATTTCGAGTAAAATAAAACCAATAATTTCTGTATTTAAAACTAATTTTGTTTCAAAATACAAAAATTATTGGTTCAAATAAAAATTATTCGATTCAAGTAAATATTTGATATTAGTAAAGTAAATTATTTGAATGAAATAAATTTTTTTTCAGAGTATCAGTTAAGATATAACTTCAATAGAATATAAAATTAATAAGGGAGAATTAAATAATACTAAAAAAAGCGCATTACCATTAGTGACATTAGATGTTACGGTGCCTTCTTCATTTACTTCAAAGTAAGTTTTCTGCACAAAATCACTTACATGAATTTTAGTTTCAGAAATACGATTGAAATAATCGATTTCAGATTTCAAAAACATTGTTTTTATACCCATCTGCAATGGAAAATAAAATGCTAATTTTATTATTTTCATTACATTGGGAAAAAATTTTCTTTGAGTTAATGAAAATTTACACCCAGAGAAATGATATATTTGTCTCACAGCCTAATAAATATTTATTTAATTAAAATAAACTTTTATTTGATTTAAATAAAAAATTTTATTTACGCCAATAAATAAATAGGCTAGTAAGCTGTGAGACAAACATATATTTATTTAACTCAAATATATTATATTTAGTTCAAATAAAATATTTCTCTGGGTGTAGTTATCTCTAAATTAAGCAAATGAATTGCATTGATATAATTTAAAAAAAAATCTATTAAATCAAATATTTTGCAATTTTACAAAATTCAAAATGTCGGATAAATTTTAAAAATTTAATTAAATTTGTTTAAAACTTGTTAATCGGGGGTTTTTTTTGGGTCGCTGATTACGAATCCAATGTTAATTTTTCTAAATTCTACATATAGTCAACTATTTAATAATACTCACCTCTCTTAATACTTTTTTCATACTTGTTGTAGTTTCAACTTTAAATTTAGGCAATGTTAAACTAATATAAGTTTCATTTCCATATTTTTTAAGTTGTTTGAGACTTAATTTTTGTAAATTATTTTCCAAATCATTAAGACCATTTATTTTATCAGGAACAACGATAAGCATTGAAAATCGTTCATCGACAAAAGGAAGTTCAATAAATGAAGCTTCTAATTTTGAAAGTTTTCCAAAATTAAAAACACTCTCCATAGTCATCATTGGAACGGACAATATTTCGTTATTTGTAAAAAAATTCTTGTTAACTGTTTTTTCAATAGGAAACTTTGATTTCCATTGACCTTGGAATAAGACAACATTAGTAATAATCATACTAGTGGAATTATCAAGATTTTCTGAAATGAATGTAAAAAAATAATTTTTATTAATTTTCTTTTTTTATCCAACTATAAATAATAATTACACTAAGAAACCAAAAAAAAATATATTTTATTTACAAATATTTGAGACAATAACAATAGCTTTTTATTTGTTTCAAATAAAAAAAAAAATAAATAAAAAATTTTAGCTCTGAGACAAATATATATCATTTTTCTGGATGTAATTTTAATAAGATATTATTATTCCTTATTGTATTTATTGATAAAAAATATGTATTTAGTTTTTTTTTGTAAAAAACAGTAACACTAACCGTAATTTATAACATTATCAATGTTATTATTCGTGTTTTCTTTAATCCAAGAATTTATTGATCCCGCTGCTCTGGATTTATTAAAGAAATCAAGATTTTCAACTTTTGATCCGAAAAATCTTTCCGCGAATAATCTAAATTCATATTTCACTTTTGTATTTTCGTTGATAAAAAATCCTGTTAAAACTTTAAGTATTCCATTATTATCAACCTAAAAAATAAGAAAGAAAGAAATTTACAAACTTTTTCCTATTTGTAGTTGGAATATTTTTACATTTTTAATTAATCTTAAGCTTCTTCCACAATAGGTAAATCGTATTGTCATGAAGACGATTTTTAAGGACGAGACAATGCAATTTAGCTATTGTGGAATTAATTAATTAATTAATTAATTTATTAATTTATTTACATACGTTTAAATTATCAATGAAGTCTTTAAATTGATTTCGACGATTAAATCTTGGGTGCATTATTCCAAGAGAAGTTTTTAATTCCTTTGCTACTTGACTCCAAGAAGAAGATGCAAGTAAATATAAGACGTGTTCTATACCAGCTGGAGAAATGATAACGTTGTTAATTTCATTTCTTGAAAGATTCTATATGAATAAAAAAAAAATTAATTCTTTTCCATAATTATTTATTAATTTATTTGGCAACCTTGCACCAACCTTGCTACAAGCTTACTGAGCAATCTTGCGATAATCTTATTGTGCAATCTTTCGATAAGCTTATCATGCAAGCTTAGCTCAAGTGGGACATTTGAAGCTTGTAGTATGCTTGCGGCAAGTTTGCCGTGCAAGGTTGGCAATATTGCGCAGCAAGCTTGCCGCAAGTTTGAGGTTTATACAAGACTGTGTTATTATTAGAAATTTAAGAGGCGCATAAATTTTCTCCAAATTTCAAATGGCCTAACACTCAACTGACCTAAATTAAATTGGCATAAAACTCATATGGACTAACTATTACTTGGCCTAATCTGCATATGACCTAATTCTTATTTAGTCTAATCATCATTCAATCTAATCCTCATTTGTACTAATCGTCATTTGTCCTAATTTTCATTTGGCCTAATCTTAAAATAACTTAATTCTGATTTAACATAATATTTATCTGCTTCATTTTTATCTGACCTGATTATTACTTGGACTAAACACCATTTACCATAAGATTTAGGATTTAGGACAGATAAATATTATGTTAAATCAGAATTAGGTTATTTTAAGATATTAGGTCAAATGACGATTAGTACAAAAGATGATTAGATTAAATGAAGATTAGGCCAAATAAGAATTAGGTCCTATACAGATTAGGCCAAAGTAATTGTTAGTCCTTATGGCTTTTAGGCCAATTCGCGATTCAGGTCAATTAAATGTTAAGTTATTTGAAATTTGGAGAAAATTCATGCGCCTAAAAATTTAATATTTTCATACTCACCATGTACAAATGAGCACTAAACTTTTCGGCAGTCTCATTGAGAAAATTTGATTTTTCAGTTAGACAATTAGATTCTTCAGTGGGAGCATCAGATTCTTTAGTAGGAGAATTTGGTTCTTTAGTAAGAGAATCTGATTTTTTAGTAGGGGAATCAGATTCTTTAGTAGGGGAATTTGGTTCTTTAGTAGGAGAATCAGATTCTTTAATAGGAGAATTTGGTTCTTTAGTAGGAGAATCAGATTTTTTGTTAGGAGAATTTGGTTCTTTAGTAGAAGAATCAGATTTTATAGTAGGAAAATCAGATTCTTTAATAGGAGAATTTGGTTCTTTAGTAGGAGAATCAGATTTTATAGTAGGAAAATCTGATTCTTTAATAGGAGAATTTGGTTCTTTAGTAGGAGAATCAGATTTTTTGTCAGGAGAATTTGGTTCTTTAGTAGGAGAATCAGATTTTTTGTTAGGAGAATTTGGTTCTTTAGTAGGAGAATCAGATTTTATAGTAGGAAAATCTGATTCTTTAATAGGGGAATTTGGTTCTTTAGTAGGAGAATCAGATTTTATAGTAGGAAAATCTGATTCTTTATTTGGAGAATTTGGTTCTTTAGTAGGAGAATCATATTCTTTATTCCCAAAATTATAATTTTCTTCATGAGAGTTAAATTCATCAGTGAAAGAATTACATTCATTAGTAAGAAAATTACAATTTTCTTTAGGAAAATTATATTCATCATTAAAAGAATTATTTTTTTTTCTCAGATAATTATATTCTTCACTAAGAGTATTATAATCTTCTTTAGGAAAATTATATTCTTCATTAAAAGTATTAGATTCATCATTAGTAAAAGAATATGATTCATCGATATGAGAATTAGATGCATCAGTCAGATAATTATAATATTCATTAACAGAATTAGTTTCATCAGTAAAAGAATTTGATTCTTCAGTGAAAAAATTATATTCTTCATTGGGTGAATTATAATTTTTTTTAAAATAATTATATTTTGCACTAAGTGAATTATAATCTTCTTTAGGTGAATTATATTTTTCATTAAGAGAATTAAATTTATCAGGATGATAATTAGATTCTGCAGGCAGATAATTATATTCTTCATTAAGAATATTAGATTCATTTAGACAAGGAATTTTATTTGTTTCCTCTACTGTTGCATTCGGATTTATAATCGAACAAAGGCGAAAAAATAATACTGGAAAAAACCAAATGAAAAATTTTAATTATTATATTTTTTAAGTTAAAAAATTTAAAAAGGCGAATGAACCAAATTTTTATTTCATCTTTTTCATTATTTTGTCTAATTTTCACTTTTCGACTATAAGCATTTAACTTATACAAAATTTTTAAGTATATATCTTTATTTAACCTAATTCCTATTTCGACTAATTTTTATATAACCTATTTTTTATTTGACCTCATTTTTATGAAACCTAATTCCTCGTCTAATTCTTTTTCTTCCAACCTAACGAGTTGAATCAATTCTGAGGTCAGATAGGGATTCAGTACGTCTAAATTGCTTCGAAAAATTATATATAGTCTGGTTCTTGGTACTGAAGTAATAGGTCAAAATTTTGTCGTATGTTATAGGAAATTGGGTCAAATAAGAATTAGGTTACATAAAAATTAGTACAAATGGAAATTAAGTTAAATAAAGATTAAGTGATTTAAATTTGTAGATTACTAAATGTTACATTTAGTTCAAAAATGAGAGTTAGAGAAAATAATTAAAAAGATCAAATAAGAATTTAAGCAAAAATACAGATTAGGACAAGTATAAAAATTACGCATTTTGTTATGTGAAAATCAAATTTTATATTTTATTCAAAAATTCACACACTTCGTATATTACATTGTATATTGCAAAAAAATACTCAAAAAATGTTATGCAATAAAAATATTTAATAAATTTTCATATAATACTTACATAAATTCATTTTTAAATATATAGGCAACAATTTCCTTTTTCTTTATATTCTCCCGTGTGGAAAAGTGATGTGGGCCCCCAGCGGGGGCCCTTATGGATCGCCCTCATGCCATGAGGGGCGCATATGGATGATCCATAGGGGCCCCTCATGGAAACGACATGCTCATCGATGAGGGCGCCCGCATGGGCGATCCATGAGGGTGCCCCTACGGGCGCCCTTATGGGCCCTCACGTTTGCCCTCATCTTGCCCTCAAGTTTGCCATAATGTTTTTTAATCAATAATATTAATAATAAAAGTTAATTGATAATAAATAAGCTTAAGTTATGAATAAATAACATATTTATTTAATAATTATTCAATTTTAAATTAAATTCTTACTCAAATTGAATTTATTAATTAACGTTCTAATTAATTAACTGTCGGATATAATTAAAAGTAATAATAAATTAATTAATTAAAAAATTAAAAAATATGTAATTTATGCATACTATTAACCGATATTTTCATTTTTCAATTAATTCATACATAGAATTAATGATTAAACGCAAACCTGAGAAATAAATAAATCTAACGCATGGGGGGAATCGAACCTACGACCTACGGACTATGAGTCTAACGCTTTACCAACTACGCTACGCACGCTACTTCAAAACGAATGCTAACTTCTTGATGCTATTTAAACTTGAAAAATACCTAACAAAGAAAAGTGCTTAACATCATTTAGTTAAAGTTAAGATATTAAATTATATTTTCCAATCAAATGCAATTTATAAAATATAATTAATTATATGCTTTATGATTATTATCATGAATCATCTCAGGCGAATTTTCAAAAAAGTGTAAATATATTTTTATTAAAAACGCGTTTTTCGTTGTTTTGAATCATTGGAAACATTCATTTTTTGTTGATAAAAAAATATTTGATTTTTGGACTTAGAAAATTTTGCTAATCGATCATGAGGGCGATCCATGCGGGCCCCTACGGTGGCCCTCATCTATTTTGCCATAAGTGTGAGTGTTATTTTCAAAAAAGTGTAAATATATTTTTATTAAAAACGCGTTTTTCGTGGTTCTGAATCATTATAAACATTAATTTTTTGGTGATAAAAAAATATTTGAATTTTGGACTTAGAAAATTTTGCTAATCGATCATGAGGGCGATCCATGCGGGGCCCCTACGGTGCCCCTCATGGATTCGCCATAAGTGTGAGTGTTATTTTCAAAAAAAGTGAAAATATATTTTAATTAAAAACGCGTTTTTCATTGTTGTGAATCATTATAAACATTAATTTTTTGGTGATAAAAAAATATTTGATTTTTGGACTTAGAAAATTTTGCTAATCGATCATGAGGGCGATCCATGCGGGGCCCCTACGGTGCCCCTCATGGATTCGCCATATGGATCAGCCCTCATGGGCCCCCGCCGGGGGCCCCGAACTCTTGAGGGCAAGATCGTGGCTTTTTCCACACGGGAGAGTTTTTTTCTAATTTTTTATATATTTTTTGAAACCTATTGATAGCTGTAGTATATATACATATATATATATATATAGATATAAGAATTTTTTAATAAATAATTCATTAGATATGAAGAATAATCATATTCATGAAATTAATATCATACAAATTACAATAATTCGGAAATAATACTGTAGATTAGAAAATAAATACAAAACATATCTGTGACGTCAAATGTCAATGTTAAATATTTACAATATAACTAATAAAACCACCTGAAAAATATTTTTTTTTTCAAATTTCTAACATCTTATTGCCATGTAGCAGTAAAAACTATTAAAAAAATTTTTTTTTTGATTATAAAAAGCTTGGAAATTACAAAATTTTATAATGCTTATTTTATTTATTATTACACTGAAAAAAAATTCTATACTTGGGACTTATTTAAAAATATTTTATACTTTTTTTACTTCATATTCTTAAAATTGGAATATTATTCTTGGTACTTAAATAAAATATTCTAAAATAGGTGCCAAGTATAATTCTACTCTTTAAATCTAAATAAGTGAAATTTTACTTAGAATGTTTCAAAAGTCTTCAACGTAGAAAAATAAGTGTATATGCACTTTTAAATAAGTGGTTTTCACTCAAAAATAAGTGAAGTTTCACTTATTTTTAAGTGCATATACACTTATTTTTCTACGTGGAAACATTCTAAGTGAAATTTCACTTATTCACTGCAAAAAGAAGTGTCTTAATATATAAGATGTTTTGGTAGTATCTTTTTAGTTATTTAAAGTGTCTTATTTTAAGATGTTATAATAGAAATAAAGCATCTTAATATTAAAATTAACATCTTATTCTAAGATGAAAGCGAATGGAAGATACCATTTCCATCTTAAAATTTTGTTTTAAGATACAAACAAGATATCTATTTTTGCAGTGTTCAGATTTAGAGTGTAAATTTTAGAATATTTTCTTTCAGTTTAGTAAATCGCATATCCGTACGTAAGGATGAAAATCGTTTAGTCAGATTTATCGACCTTCAAACGAAAAGTGAATTACTAGATTTTTACTTTTAATAGCACAACTCAAAATTGTATTACCTAAAAATAATAAAGAATTAACATAGTAAGAAGGCTTTCTTGACTTTTACAATTTATGTATAAAATTATTTACGTGGATTCATTACAATTACACAACTTCAAGTTCTTTCGAGTTATAACTATAAGTACAGACCTTGACGATTATGTTTCCAGTTTTGTTTATTAATTTAAATTATAAGTTAATCGGCACAATATATATTCTAAATTAGAATACAATATAGACGTCAAAATCGAAGTGCCGAATATAACTACGTTAATCGTTAAGCAAATATGATTTCTTATTATATTATATATAAAATTAACACACTTCGAAATTTTAATTTGTGATTAAAAATGCTACTGTTGTGCGTATATATAAATTAAACAAATTAAAAAAAAATCCTCAAAAATATATGTTTGTAAAAAAAAACAAAAGAAATGAATCTACGTATATACGTCTAATCAACGTATAATCTACGTATACAAATACTTTGAAATTTATCCAAATATTTCAAAACACTTTATTTAATTCTTATCTACATTTTTACGTCAATTAACAATTTTTTGTTATAAAAATTTATATGTATTAAATAAAAGCGCAAAATAGAAAAAAAAAATTTTGGGTTTTTAGAAAAATTTTCGTTTTTTCAATTTAAGGGGCGAAACCACATTACGGGGTTCAAAAAATCGAATTGTTTTTTTTTTTTTTGCATAATTGCTGTGCAGGATAACTCAAAATGTTATTGACCGATTTCAAAAAAGAAAATTACAAATTGTTCGTTATTTAATTTATTATTAAGTGAACTTAAACGTTAGAAAGAAAAAAAAATTTAATATCTTCTTTTTTAATCTCAAAGACGCAAAAAAAAAAATGCCAAAAATCAAACATTAACTTAAAAGTAGTGTTAATTTTTCAATATTTTCACTTAAAAGTTAGTTCAATTAATAATAAAATTTGTATAAAATGTGAATCGCCTTCATTTTTTGCTTTTAGATCAAATTTGTGGACTCCACCTTGCATAGCAATCATAAACTCAGACGGCACAGCTCCAGGTTTAATGGCTGATATAACTATATAGAAATGTTTTTAATAAAAATGCTTAAAAAAAAATTTGTAAAACACAGATAAATATATGTGCAACATAATGTCATTCTTGCATTTCATTTAAAAAATTTTATTCCTATTGAAAAAAATCTCGAAAAACGGCTAAAAGTCTTAATCCGGGAGTCTCGAAGACTCAAACAAAAAATGTATGGCGCACTTTTTGATTGGTCCAGTAGATGTTGAGCTAGATCAAAATAAATTTTTCGGATTTTTCGAATTACTATATTGAGAAAGGAAGAGGAAAATAAATGTATCAAATTTTAAGAAAAAGCATTTGCTTTATTATAATTTTTTTTCTTAAAATAAATAATATTTTATATATATATATATATTTATAATTTTTTGTTTTGATAAAGTAATAAGTTCGCTTACAATTTTAATTGTTAATTAATGACTAAAACCATCGAATGGCACATTATAATTTATATATAATAATCAATTTTTTAACAAAATATAGTAATATATTTAAAATACCGTTTTTAAATCTCACTATAATGAAAAGTTGTTTTAGAGTAGCGGAAATATTTTTTTTTTGTATAGAAAAGAAAATTGAAATAAAATTCTATTTTCTTTATATTTAAAAACTAGATCAATTTTAATTATTTTCAATGTCCAATTTTTTAAAGTGAATTCTAATTAAATCCAACGTGTAATTTTTTTTTTTTTTAATATTTAAGGTATCCTTTTTTAATACTTAACAGATTAGACAATTTAAAAAAAAAAAAAAAAATTCCCTTAGCCAATTGCATAGTCATGGGACTTGGCAACATCAATTTGTTGAGCAGCTTTTCGGCAAGCTAGTCTTAGAGATTTTGTATATTTAAGAAGACAAATTTCTTGATCCTCGTCGTCAGATGGAAAATCCTCAATATTATATGAAGGAAGACAATCCGTTCCACCGACAGCGACAACTTGTCTTGCAATTTTAGGATCGACACAAAGTCTTGTGAGTGCGGCCGCTGCTGTTTTTTCCAATCTCTGATAAGCATTTTCCAAACCAGGAGGACGCATTCTCAGAAAGCAAACGAGGGCAACGGATGCTCTTGCCTCTGCAAGATGTTCACGAGCTTCTGGAATGCGAGCGACTTCTCCAATCAGAGACGCCACCTGAAGAAGAAAAATATAAATTGTTAATAATTTATTTGTATTTAACTAATGAATAAAATAATCATTTTTTATTTTAAAAATTTTCAAGCGTCTCGCTTTATTATTTATTTTAATTTTATTCTACTTATATAATTGCTTGCTCAATATTTTTTTTCCTTATCTATTTTTATTTATTGATATTTGAAATTTATTATTTTTTCATTTTATTCAATTTAGTTATTTACTTCATAATTTATTTATCCCAATATGTAGGTCAATAATTTTCTTTTTACCAAAAGTTCGTTTACAAATAAATTTGGCCAAACTTAAAAAAAAAAACGAAAAATGCTCAAAAAATTTTAACGAAAAAGTAATTTGAAAAAAGAAAAAAATATATTCCTCACCTGTTCCATCAGCCAAACATTTCCTCCGGGTGCTTTTTTTACGCATTGCAATAATTTTTTAATAGCGTCAAGCTCAAGAATTGCAGTGACACATTTTCTTGATTTAGATAAATGATTAAGTGCAGCGGCAGCAAGTAAAAGAGTTTGGCTGCAAACAGTTTTCTCCGCCAATTTGGTTAATGCGTCCACAAGTGTCTCGGCGAAAGCCTCAAGATGTGAAAGTCCCAAGGCATTTGTCCAAGGCGCTGTTATTTGTACAACTAATGCGGCTGCTTCCATTTTTTCCATTTCCGGACGTAATTCAGTTGCAAGAAAATCAACAAGTATTTCCGGTCCATCTTCGTGAATAAATTTTTCAATTGCCACCGGACAACAACAAACACTTGCCAATGCACGTAGGCATGAACAACGTAAATCACTTGTTAAACGAGATGATGAAATTAATGAAGTCAATAATGTTCTAACACCGGAACAACGTGCAATACTACTTCCGGCACGTGGTCCAGACATTCCTAATGCAGTTAATGCAGCTAATGCACCGCGTGCTGCACTTCCTCCTTCTGATGGTGCTTCCTCAAGACCGCGTACTACTCTCTGCGGGGAAAAAAATTTTCCAAATTAAAAATCATTTTCTTTATGTGGAACACGCGGTGAAAAATGGAATAACGAATATAAAGTAATTTTTACTATACTTTAAAAGTAAAATCTCAACTGTTCGCAGTTTCATGCGTATTTCTGACAATTTTTTACTCTGGAAATATTTATTTATTAATATACGGGACTAAAAAGAAATGTAAAAAGAAATATAGTAAAATGCAGTATTTCCGGAATAATTTTTACTATTTCAGAAGTAAATTTTACTATTTTCGAAGTAAATTTTACTATTTTCGAAGTAAATTTTACTATTTCTGGAGTAAAAATTGTTAGAAATGCGCAAAAAACTGCGAACGGGACGCATGAATATTCCCTTCATTAGACTTGACGAAATTTGTGTGGTGTCAAATTAAAAATTATCAAATTTACATTTAGTAAAATTTTAAAAAAGAAATTTTATAATGAGTCCAATTTTAATATCGAAAAATTTCTATTTAACAAAATTTGGATTTTGTAGAATTTCTATTTAACAAAATTCGGATTTTGTAGAATTTCTATTTAACTGTACTGTGATAAAGCAAATTTTCTAATATATCGAATTTCCAAATAATACAAATTGAATTTAACAAAATTTATATATCTAGAAAATTTTTCATAAAAAAGAATTTTTATTTATCGGAATTATTCTTTTATCGAATTTCTATTTATCTGAATATTTACTTAAAAGTATTTTCATTAGAAGAAATTTCCAATTAAAAAAATTTCTATATAACAAAATTCTTATTTAACAAAAGTTTTATTCAAAAAATTTCTATACAATCTAATTTTTATTTAATAGAATTGTCATTTAACAGAAAATATACTTAGCTAAATTTTTAAGATAGAAAATTTCTATTTCACCGATATTTTATTTGACCAAAGTTTCACTTATCCGAATTTTTATTAGATAAAAATGTTAAAATGTCAAATTTCCATTTAATAAAAATTTTTATTTGTCAGAATTTTTATTTGTTCGAATTTTCATTTAACATAATAGGCATTTTAAAGAATTTTTATTGGATTGAATTTCAGTGCATAGAATTTTCATTTTATTCTTTCAGATGAATTTTCATTTGTTCGAATTATTATTTGATATAATTTCCATATTAATCGATTTTTCATAATACAGAATTTTTATTTAACCAAAAAATCATTTAACAGAATTTCTAATTGATAGAGAATTTTTATTTGTCCGAAATTGCAAATGTCCGAACAAACATTCGATTTCGGCGCGATTTTAAAAATTAACTATTCACAATTTTATGAATAATTTTTGATTGGTTGATTTTAAAAATCGCGCCAAAATCGATTGTTGTTTCGGTCATTTGCAATTTCGGACAAATGAAAATTCTCTATCAATTAGAAATTCTGTTAAATGATTTTTCGGTTAAATAAAAATTCTGTAGTATGAAAAATCGGTTATATGGAAATTCAATCAAATAATAATTCGAACAAATGAAAATTTATCTGAAAGAATAAAATGAAAATTTTATGCAATGAAATTCTACCCAATAAAAATTCTTTAAAATGCCTATTATGTTAAATGAAAATTCGAGCAAATAATAAAAATTGTGTAATATAGAAAATCGTTTTGATGAAAATTCTGCAAAATAATAATTCGATTAAATAAAATTCGGCTCAAGGAAAATTTCTAAATATCAGAATTTCTAATTCATCAAATTTTTATTTGCACAAATTCCTATTTGGTAGAATTATTTAAAATGCCTGATGATCATTTGTCCAAAATTGAAAATGACCGAATAAACATAATCTAAAGAAATTTCTGCAAGAATTTAAAAATAAACCAATAACAATTTTACTGTTAATTTTGTGATACCTTAATATTATAAAATTCGCGTTAAATTCTGTTTTAGATTATTTTTATCCGATGATTTTCAATTTCAGTCAAAGAGGAAATTCGTCGTTTTAGAAATTCTAGCAAATAAAAAAATTTATGCAAATAAAAATTCGGTGAATTAGCGATTCTGGCATTTAAAAATTCGAAACAAATGAAAATTTTATTGAATGATAATTATGCTAAATGAAAATTCGATTAAATTAGAATTCTTTTTTTTTGAAAATATGAATTCAAAAATTTCTTTTTTTGAATTTCTCCTTTTTAAACTTTAAATTAGTAAATTTTAAATTATAATTAACTAATAAAATAATTAAATTAGTTAATTTTATTTTTTTTTTTAGTAAAAAAAGCTTACTTCAACATAAAAGTCGAGTCTCGTATTTAGAACAGAGTCCACAACATCTTTAAGGTTTTCCAATTGAGAGATAATACTTCTAAGGCTTCCTTGGTGAATTCTCCGTGGTGGAGGAGCGCCAAGTTCCAATAAAACAGAAAATGCATCCTCTTCTATTGATTGCAACAATTCTGTTTCTGATCTTGCATTCGTTAGATGGGAAATTTTGCTGCAAAAAAAATTTATTTATTAATTAAATAATAATAATAATTTTATTTAAATTCAAATAAATTAATTTTAATTCACAGTTACAATAATGTGTGTGGCCTATTTTCTTCTAAAAGGGACCTAAGATCTAAAAAATTGATTGATCAGTTTTTCAAAATTCAAAATGGCGGATCCAATATGGCGGTCATTTTTAAAAATCGTTCGAAATGCTTCGGGGGTCCCAAATTACCAATCAAATGTAATTTTTTTTCCAAAATAAAAAATGGAGATTTTTTTTTTTTTTTTTAAATATAAAAATACTTACTCAAATACAGTTTGATAGTGATGATCGAATTTTTCAGCGCGCAAAAGTAATTTTGTCGCTGCCGTTGTTGCTGAGGCAGTCAACATTTTTAAGTCTCTTGTTTGTAATTCTTCACCAATGAAATCTTCAACTTGTCGTCTTGGTAGTGCTTTACTTTGTAGCGTCACACCACATTCGTCATCAATTTCGTGAATTAAATTATTTAACCATGCATTCACTGGTGCCAATTGTTTGAAATGTAAACACGTTGCATTTCTTTTTGAATCATTTGAATGAGTTAATGATTTTGCACAACCGGAACCCGAAGAAGAAGAAGAAGAAGAAGAAGATGAAGAAGTCGATGGTATTGAATCCTCAGGTGGTTCCGTTGCAAAGAGAAAATCGCCCAATGATGAGGAATCCATTGAAGGATATTTCGTTGTTTCCTCATCTTCCTCTCTATTTTAGAGAAACAGAAAAAAAATTCCAATATAAGAAAAAAAAAATTAATAAATTTAAAAAAAATATTAATAAATTAAAAAAATTGATTTTTAACTTAATTAATGTTAATTAAGCATCTCCTTTATTATTAATTTTTACAAAATATATAATTAACATTATTTAATGTAATTTTTATTGAGAAATTTTAATAATATTTTTTTTTAATATACGGTAAAAACAAATTATTACTATTATTATTATTATTAATTATTTTGTAATAATAATTTAATTAATATTTATGAAACAAAAAAAATTTTAGGTTATGTTTATGATAGTTTGGAGTGAAAATACAAAATGATCATCAACTCTAAATATACAAATAATTAATTTTTAAATCTTTATATTACATTTAAAATATTCAATAAATACTAATTTTGATGTTATATAGAAATTAAAAAGGAAGTTTTATAATCATAAGATAATAATAAAACGGGCAAAACAATCATAAACATAACCTAGAATTTTTTTCTTTTTTTTTTGCTTTTTAGCTCATTTTACTTAAAATGCGTTACATAAATTCTAAAACTATATTAAAATTGAATTTAACATTATTTTATTATAATTGTATATTTAAATTATTTTTTAATTAACTTACAAATTATTTAAAATATTTCTAAAAAATTTGTAAATTAATTTTTAATTAAAAATAATAAATTAAATCATTATTATTTAAATAAAAAAAATTTTAATCATTAAAATTATAATTAAATAATAATAATAATAATAATAATTAAATTACTAAAATAAAATTATTAAAATTGAATTGTTTAAATATAAATATTGATGAAATAGGTATTATTTTCTTAATTAAAAAAAAAATTTTTTAATTATTTTTTTCCCTTTTTTTTTGAAAAAATTTGACAACGAGGTGTGTTTGAAAATTTTTTTGACACCTTGATTGGACCATGAAGAGGTGGTAAAATTTAAGTTTTCTTATACTCTCGAATTACTTCATGAAAGCAGTTTTGCTACTGAAGAATAGAAAACTGTTACACTACTGCAATTTTTTTTTTTTTTTTTTTTTTCGTAATATTCTCACGTGGTTTGTGATTGGCTAACAATAGAGCGGCTTTGAGCACGTGTGCTCTGACTAATAAGAGAGCGCCTCTGGTCACATATATAGGCTTTTATAATCTCTCGCGGATAGTTGTGTGACTAATATCTGATTTTTCATTCGTTCGCATCTACACCTGCATTAAGTTCCATAGAATTCCTATCACATTTGCTGGCCATTCTTGATGATTTTTTTTCTCTTTTCCTTCTTTCTTTTTTTTTTTCTTTTTAACTAAGCTTAATTTATTTCATTCTCGATGCTTCCAAGCAAAATTGAATCACGTATTTTAAAGTCTGACTCGACGACACAATCAGAATTTTGAAACAATTGATTTTATTTTGTTTTTCCTTTTTTTGAAATTATTTTAAATTCTAAAATTGTTTTTTTTTAAATTATTTAAAAATAATTTTTCAATTGCAATAGAATTAAATTAATTTTTTTTATTTATCAAATTTTTGCCCCTTTTTTAGTAATATTTATAAATAATTTATTGTACTAAATTATAATAATTAATAAATAATTTATTTTACTAGATTATAATAATTAATAAATATTAATATTTTTATTAGTAATAAATATTTTAATAATTAATCATAAAATTATTTTAATAATTTATTTATTTTTATGTAATTTTAATACTCACAACAATAAAAATGAATTTAAAAAAAACAAATTAAAAATAAGTGAAATTTTTATATTCTGATTATTCTTTTATATATATTTAGGCAATAAATCTAAATGGTCCGATTTTTCAAAATTTAAAAGCATTATGGAATTTGTCTGAATATATAGTTAAAAAGTAATTATAGAATAAGTATAAAATAATGTATAGAAAGTTTGAAAATTGTTTTCTAAAACCTTATTAAGAATAATTCTTTCAACTTTCGATTTAATGACCTTTTATACGACACTGTTACACAATATACTTTTTTAAAATTTTTCTTCTTTTTTTTATATGAATAATTATTTACAAAAATTCGATTACTAAAAAAATTATTAAGAATTTATTTTCGTTTGTTTTTTTCTTTTAAATTATTTTATTACAAAAATTTAATAAATAAATTATTATTAGAATTATAGTATTTTATAATAATAAATAAGAATTCATAATAATAAAAATAATTTTTAATTTTATAAATACTTATATAAAAAAATATTTTAGAAAAGAAAAAATTGATGGACACTAGGAATTAAAAATTATTTAAAAAAATTTTTAATTAATTTTAATTTTAATTAAATCAATATTACATGAGTGTGGAATAATTATTACTTGATTATTCCTGAAGGGAAAAAATTTAAAAGCATAATATATTCTTTATAGTTATATTTTTATTCAAGGCAAAAAATGAAAACAGTAAAAACAAGTCTTTACTTTATTTTTTACTATATTTATATTTCAATAATAATAATAATAATTTTATGAATCACAGAAAATGATCATTTCCTCTGATTCATGTATTATAATAAGTGTGATAAACGTAATTATGTATACTCGCGTTTTATAATTTACCTTTAAATTACAAATTAAATGTAAATATTTTATATACTTTGATAAAAAAAAAAAAAAAAAATGAATCACAATCTTCGATTAAAAATATATTTATTCAATTATATGACTTCTTAAATTCTTATATTATTATTATTATTATATAAATAAATAAATATTATTTTCAATATCATTTGTATTATTATTATTATTATTATTATTATTATTATTATTCTACGTGGGAAATAGAATATTTTATTTTACTAAAATTGAAATGTTCTGAATGTAAAATTTTTTTTTAATTTAAAAAAATATCGCTCTTGGCTTTTTCACTTATAGATAAATGTAATATTACTATCTATATACAGTCAATTTTCCTTTCAACGGAACTAATTTTCGAGAAGGTTTTTTTTTCTTAAAAAAAAATGAATATATAATTATTATTCTATTCAATGTTAACGAAAAATGGAGATGCGTAAAGACGATATAAAAGAACGTGTATAACAATAGCAAAAAAAAAAGAAAGAAAAAAGAAAAAAACGAAATCTTCTATAAAGCCTGTTTATCTTTTAACAAATAATGATAACCGTTATTTTTTGAGGACTAAATAAGGTGTCTTGGCTTGAAAACTATATATTGGAGTGGCAATGAATAATAATAAAAGAAATAATGTGGCTCAGTTTTGAAAGTTGACAAATTGAGTTGTGCTGTCCCAAAAAACATAAAAACATATACATGATATGCTACATTACAATATTCCCAAACAATTTGTATATATATATATATATATATATATATATATATATATATATATATTATATATGCAAACACGTGATCAGCGTGACAATTATTCAACTGTACACACATAACAATGGTTTTTGTACGAGGACAAGACTGTGGTTGACGAGTTAAGAATGCATCATCGCACAGGCGTCTACTTTTTTTTTTTTTAGAAGCATTTCTTTATTTTTATTATTTTTATTAATATTTAAAATTATCTCAAGTATTTTAATTATGTTTTCAAATATTTCGGTAGTTAAGTATTTTTTTTATTTTTAAAAATTATTTATTATTTTTATAATCTATATGTATATAGAAATTGATCTAATTTTGAATATTTTGTAGAATTTTCATCAAACCGATTTTCTATATTACGGAATTTTTATTTATTCGAAATTGCAAATGACCGAAACAACAATCGATTTTGGCGCGATTTTTAAAATCAACCAATCACAATTTTATGGATATAATTTTTGATTGGTTGATTTTAAAAATCGTGCCAAAATCGATTGTTTTTTCGGTCATTTGCAATTTCGGACAAATGAAAATTCGATCAATTTTAGAAATTCTGTTAAATGATTTTTCAGTTAAGTAAAAATTTTGTGGTAAAGATAAATTGGTTATATGGAAATTCAATCAAATATAATAATTCGAACAAATAAAAATTTGGCTTAAAAAATAATTATGATTTTATACTTATGTTTTTTTTTTTTTTTTTTTATCAAAATGATAGAATAAATATTTTTTGTTATCTTGAATAATTTAATAATAATTATAATAATTTTTTTTTTAATTTCACGCCAATGTTTTACGTGTATATAATTAATATTATTTAAAAAAAATTTTTTTAACTTTAAACAATCAACGACGGAAATGTTTAACATATGACGCATATATATATTTTTTTTGACGTGCGAAGCTCAACTCATTCACAAGTGAATTTTATCGCATTTGTGTTTCTCCCAAGACTATTGTATTTCTCATGGACAGATAATCGTCTGTGATAACCTCATATTATTATTATCATAATATTGCGAATTTATTTTTCCAAGTATACTCTATCTTCTATATATATAATATTTCTTTCGTATAAGCTATATATTCATTGAAAACGCCTTCAAAATTTATTAAAGATAAAAAAAAAACTAATAGATTTTAATTCTATTTTTGTCAATTTTTGCATTTTCTCACAATTTTTTTTTTAATAAAATAAGTTAAAATTTTAAAAATCTCCTATATCCTCGTTTAGAACAGCAATTTACTAATTCGGCTATATCAGTTGGCCGTTATATTTAAATTGACTATATTTTAATTTATTTATTTTCTAAAATTAATTAAAAAGAAAAAAGTAATCATAAAATACAAAAAAATAATTTTTAATGAAAACCGGCCTCGGATCGACTGAAAAGCACAAAAAAAGTCGGTTTAGTCAAATTATATTCCAAAAAAAGTCGAAAAAGTCGATTTTCTTTAAATAGTTAAAAATAATTTAATTTCCTTAGAGTTATAATTGAAATTGTTAAATTTCAAAAAAATTTTCGATAGAAAATTTTAGAAGCTTTTAAATTCAAATTTTTGTTGATTATTGATTGAAAATTTTGATAATAATTAATTTTGAATTGAAATTTTGGATAATTATTGAATTTTAGTTGATTTTGAATTGAAATTTTTGAATATAATTAAATTTTATTTGATTTTTAATTGATTTAGGATTTTGAATTAAAAATTTTTGGTAATTTTATTTGAAATTTTTTTAAAATTATAAACAATTGTTAAATTTCATAAAAATTTTAATTGAAAAATAATTTGAAATAATTGAATTTGTGATGAATTTCATTAAAATTATTAAAAATAATTAATTTAGTGAAGAATTTTAGTTAACAATTTGTTAAATAATTGAAATAAAGAAGATATGAAGAAGATCTGCATTTTATACTAAAAAAAATATATTTTATTTAAAAAATTTTTTTAAAAATATAAAAAAAAGTCGAAATAGTCAAATTTTATTAAAATAAGTCGAAAAAAGTCGTATTTTTGAAAAAAAGTCGGAAATAGTCGAAAAAGTCATATAATCCGAGGCCTGTAAAAAAAGTAAGAATTTCAAAGTAAAAAAATTTTTTAATGTAAAAAAATTTTCTTTTGAAACTAACATTATTAACATAATGATTTTTAGTGCTGCTGATCCATTATATTATTTTGTAATCAAGTTCATTGACAGAAATGTGTCAGTCTTATCGTATAAATATAGAATACAAATATTTAATTAACTTTTTCATGCAATAAGAAATACACCTTTGAATCATGCATTGCTTTGATAATAATCAATGATTTTGATAAGAAAGGTGTAACACAAAAAAAAAATATATATATATATATATATATATACTTTGAGATTAAAGGGCTCAAAAATGTGTTTATATCTTTAATCTCATTTGTTTATATATATATACCGGTTTTTGATCAAGATTCAATTTTTCTACTCACAAATATATTTTCTATTTCACATATATAGATAAAAATCATTTTTATTATTCAATATGTGATTTAAATTTTTTTTTCAAATTATATATACATATTTATATTTAAATTCTATGGTCCAAAATTATTTCCCTTATTAATACCAATTCATAGAACCGTAAAAAATACAAATTTTTCTCATTTGAAAGAGAAAAAAATAATTGATTTTTAACTTATTCGGCTCTGGATAGGCCGATTTATTTAAATTGATTTCATTTCTTTAAAAAACGATCGAAAATAATTTAAATAGTTCTCTTTACATTTATAACAATATTTTTTATTCGAATAAAAAAGAAAAAAAAATTTTTTTTAAAATTAATTCGGCTATTGGCTGACCGATATATTTAAATTGATTCTATTTCTTTAAAAAATAATTGAACTATTTATAAATATATTTTCATTAAAAAAAAAATTTAGTAATTTTTATTGTAAAAGTGAAATTAAATTTTTGTTATATTTAATTATTTATAATTAAAATTAAAATAAATTTTAAATAGAAATTTATGAGAGTAACCTAAAATGAAATGAATAAATTATATATATATATTATAAAATAATGAATATTACCTTTCGAGATGAGATGAATCCCATGATGATGTATTTAATGGAGATTCCAATATTTGTGCACTAAATCTTGGCAATAATCTTTTTGGCGTTGAATGATGAGATGGATATGGCGGTGCTTCGTTCTCCCTCCAAAGGGAGCTTAGTCTCTGATTTCTTGGACGTACATCACATGATTGTAGATTTTTAACCCTTCTTCTTCTTCTTCTTCTCCTTTGTGTTGTCGCTGAAATTCCCACTTCCGCACAGGAACTATCAGAATCAGAAAATCCCGAATCCTGACTTTTTTGACCGAGACTAGCAGGACTGTACGATCTTTCACCATAAGCAACATTTTCCCTTGATCTCTCAGTTTCTCTCGAACTATTACTGAAAAATGGAAAAAAAAATTTCTTTTTTTTACAAAAAACTAGTTTTTCAAAAAATAATTCTTAAAAAAAAAATATTAAATGTTGTTGAATTTATTTGAAATTTTGGTAAATTTTTGTCCTATATAAGAATGAGAAATAGCTAAAATTTTAGATTATTTAAAATAAAATTCAATTTTTAAATTTCAAAAAAGAAAATTTTACTCACTTATTTTAAAATAAATTTTTTTATATATGAAACGAATTAAAACTTTAGTAATTTGTTATCCTCGTATAGAACAACAATTTACCAAAATTTTAAGCCGGATTGAATAAACTTTATTTGTAATTTTTGTACTTTTTATACTTTCTAGCAAAAAATAAAAAAATGTTTTATAAAATTATTTGAAACTTTTGGGATTTATTATCCTCACATGCAACAACAATTTACCAAAATTTTAAAGTCAATTGAATAAACTTTATTTGTAATTTTTGTAATTTTTACACTTTCTAGCAAAAATAAAAAAAAAAAACCATTTTTTTATAAAATAAATTAAAACTTTTGGAATTTGTTATTCACACATGCAACAACAATTTATCAAAATTTCAAACCAATTTAATAAATTTTAATAAAATTGTTAAACTTATTACAAGTTTTTTAAGAACATATTTTTCTGGAAAATAAGTTAAAATTTTAGGATTTTTTTATCCTTATATATAGAACAATAATTTGCCAAAATTTTCAGACCAATTAAATGTCAAGTCAATTGAATAAACTTTAATCAAATTTTTATTCCTTTTACAGTTTCTTGTAAAGAAAGTTTTTTTTATAAAATGATGAGTTAAAATTTTAGGCATTTGTTATCTTAATATAGGAAAATAATTTCCTAAAATTTTAAGCCAATTCAATAAACTTTATTTTTATTTTTGTCTTTTTTATATTTTTTTTTTGCAAAGTTTTTTATGAAAAGAATTAAAACTTCAGGAATTTGTTAAAGTGTTTTACAAAACAACAATTTACTAAAGTTTTAAGCCAATTTGATGAATTAAAATTTTTTTTTGGTCCCTTTTAACACTTTCTCATAAACAAAGTTTTTTTTTTATGAAATCGGTTAAAACTTTAGAAATTTGTTTTTGTTGTACAAAACAACAATTTACCAAAATTTTAAATCAATTTAATAAATTTTAATTTTTTTCCAAATCCGTTTGAAAAAAAAATTCCTTACTTTTATAAATACATATACAGTAGATGGAAGGCATGATTATGTTCTAAAAATCATTAGTTAGAATTTTCATTTTATAGAATTTCATTTGTCATAATTATTTTTGAGTAGATTTTTTATTTCTTCGAATTAATATTTTGCAGAATTTTCATCAAAACGATTTTCTATATATTACAAAATTTTTATTTGTTCGAATTTTTATTTGTCGATCGCGCCAAAATCGATTGTTGTTTCGGTCATTTGCAATTTCGGACAAATGAAAATTCGATTAATTTTAGAAATTCTGTTAAATTACTTTTCGATTAAGTAAAAATTCTGCAGAAAATTGGTTTTATGGAAATTCAATCAAATAATAATTCGAACAAATGAAAATTCTATATGCAATGAAATAAAAATTTTGTGAATTGAATTTTCGGTTTTATAAAAATTCTCTATATATAGAAAATCGTTTTGATGAAACTTCTGCAAAATTCTAATTCAAAGAAATAAAAATCGGCTCAAAAATAATTATATGAAAAATGAAAATTCTAACTAATAATTTTTAGAACATAAAAATCATGCGTCCCCAGTAGATTATAAATATACATATATATAATATGTGAAATGGATTCTCACCCCTCTGACGCTTGACTAGATTCGTTACTTTGAGAAATGGGCTCCACTCTAATAACCGTCACATTGCTGACATCTGTCGTTGTATCATCCTCTTGTTGTTCATCATTAAAACTTTTTGAATTTTCAGCGCACAATGATTCAACGCGAATTGATATTGTCCTTGGACTTTGTGTGACATCAATAATTGATTTATTATTTGTCAGCGAATTTTCCGGATATAAAAATTTCGAACTCTCCATATCGTGAGAGGCCATTTGATTCCAAAAAACACGACTCTGTCTTCTTTTGAAACCACTCATTTTGAAAAAGCTATATGAGAATCGTTGAATAAAAAGAAAAAAAAATTATTTCCTTTTAATCCAAATTTATTTATTTTTCCAATTTAATTTCATTTGTTATTTTTTTCGATTTCAGTTTTTATCAGAATATTATTATTTCACTTTCTTCATTTGAATATTTTTCATGTATAAAAATTTTTTGTTTTCTTGGAAAAATGTTTTAAAAAATTTATTATTTATATTTTTCTATTCACTGTTTTATATATTTTATTTTTTTATTATTTACTACTGTTTATATTTTATTATATATTTTTTTATTTTATTTAAAAAATGATTTTTTTTTTAAACAATATTTTAGAAACTCTTCACTGTTCACAATTAATTTTTTTTTTCACTTTTATTCGAAGAATTTCGTGAGAGAATGATGATGAAAAAAAAATATTGAAATTTTTCCGAGAGTTTTTTTTTTGTGTGAACGAACCGCTACGGAAGACCAACGATGATGCTCTGAAATGTTGAGGGTGGTTTATAGAATCACTAGAGCGTGCTGACCCTCCCACCAGTCGCGTGCCCCAACACACCTTATGGCACTCGTCCTTAACCCCCCAGGTAAGGCCCACGCGAACAGGAAGGATCCATATCGAAAACACTCAACAATGTCTTGAAAACTTATTTTTTCCACTTTTCAAACTTTCTAAATTAAATAATATTTTTCAAAAATATTATTATTCAAAAATTAATTATTTCTTAATAATTAATATTATTTTAATTATTTTTTTATCATTATTAATTTAATAATTTTTTTTATTATTATTTTAATTATTTTTTTTATTTTTTATATTAAACAAATTTTTTTGTCCTTTTTATATACGAATTTTTAATAATCGGTTAAATATTTTTTAAAATATTGTCCTTAATAGTCGATTTTTAAATAATTAAAATAATTTTTTTTTTTAATTGTCAATAAAATTACATTTTTTTTTTTAGTTAATAATCAAATTTTTGTAATTATTAATAATTAAAATTTTTATATTGTTAATTAAATATTTTTAATTATGAATAATTGAATTTTTCAAAGAATGAAATTATTTTTTTCGTAACAATTTTCTTCAATGACACTATAGTATTTAATGTTTGAAAATTCCAACTCAATTACTGCAAACGTATCGCGGATCGGAATTCAAAGGTGACTAAACATATCACAACTCAGTGAGCGACTGCCGAGGAATTGCTTCCGACTTCCTAACGTCGTCTCCTCCCCACGACAGTAAGTCGGCTGCAATATAATGTATTATAAAAATGCCTGCGCTTGGTACCCTGCGACCTTTATAGAAACCCCAATACTGCATATAAAAAAAAGAAAAAAAATTTATAAAAATATAAATATCAAAATATAAAAAAATAATACAAAAAAATATTTTATATTTTTTGTAAATATTAAATTTAATTAAAAAAAAAAGTTAAATTGTTTTAGTTTTCTAAATTTAATTTTTAATTTATTTTTATTTTCAAATTTTATGAAAAATAAATTTTATTAAAAAATTAATAAAAGAACATTTAATTTTTATAGTCTTTGATAATAATAATAAAAAAAAAAAACAAATCCAATGAGGTGCGATAAATTATCATTGTATTTAACCATATGCAAAATATTGGCGTTTAAACTTTTTCGGCCTTCCATAGCCGATAATATTAAAATATAAATAATTTTAAAAATTATCATTGTTATTTATAACTATTTATATTCATTCGATTCGTCTTAATATTCTCTCTGACATGGAACTTGTTTAAGCCTTTTATAGTAATAATAATAATAAAAAATAATAATAATAATATTAATAATAATTATAATAATAATAATAGTAAAAAATATAAAAAATGAATAATTATAACAATAATAATTTTTTATTAAAAATAATACATATTAAAAAATAGTAAAAGCCAAAATTTTCATTAGACAAGGGGGTTAAAAATATTGACATCCCTGAGGGTAAAAGAGTGAGTTTGGCATGTGCCTTGTAACCGACAAACCGAAACTAGTGACGCGCTCCTCCCTATTAGGGGTGGTGCAGCATTTTTTTTCTCTTCCCCCCTCCCCTCAACCTTCTTCTTTTGAAAAGAAGGGTCCTGTTTGTGATGTAGATTTCAAAGGCGTAGAAGGAGGGGAAAAATCATCCAGAGTCATGTGAATTTCGGTCCATTTAAAATTTAAATCTCCATATTTATAGGAATAAAGAAATAAAAATTTTTAATTTTGTTTTTTTTTGTTGAAAAAATTTTAAATATTAAAATAATAATTTATTTAATCATTGATTTTAAGATTAATAATTTATTTTTTTTCCCGACATTATAAAATATGTAATAATAAACTAATTTTTGAATTTTATTATTTTCATCTTCCAAAAAAATTAATTAATTTAATTCAAAATTAAATTTCTAATAATTTCAATAACTAATAGTTAATAATAAAAAAGAAAAAAAATTAATTGATTTTTTGTAATAATTAATTTTATTAATAATGTTAGATGATCTGTTTGAAAAAATTTAACCCTATTTTTTTTTTTAAATGTATATAATTAAATAATATGTAGTGAATAATAATTATTTATATTTAAAAAAAAAGAAATCTATAATATATATTACAGTGGTTAGGATTTTAAATATAATAATTTGAGGATCAAAATTGAGGCAGTCAGTGAGAGAGCATCGGAAAATCACGCCAATGGCCCTTAATGCCAGGTGTTAGTTTTGGAATGGTCGGAACCCCCTCGACGAGGCGCAGCTTTTCATATATATATATATATATATAGTTGGACATGTTTCCAATTCTTGGGATATGTACGCTTCCAAAACACCCCCATATGTTTTTTTGTGCCGAGGCACGCGCCACTCGTAGCATCTGCGTTTTATAATACATACGAAATGCCTACGCCGTTTCGTGCGTCATTATACAAAAAAAAAGATGTAATCATTTTTGTCTTTTTATCCCTTTATATTATATTAGGGGAGTAATTAAATTCCTTGAATTTTCAAGAAAGCAAAATAATTTTTTTTTTAGTCAAATTTAATTTTTATATACAATTTTTGTCAAGGGCATTTAAATAATTTTTTTAAATTTTCCGCCATTTCTATTTTTTTTATAAACAATATCAGTGAATTTTATCCCATATGGTCTAGTGGCTAGGATACCTGGCTTTCACCCAGGAGGCTCGGGTTCGATTCCCGGTATGGGAAATTTTTTTTATTTTCATTTTGATTTTTTTTATTTACTCTGCTATTCCTCCTTTATTTTTTACCTTCCCTTTTTTTCTATTTTTATAATATAGTCTTTTTAATATTCAAAGTTGTACAAATTAATAAAAAATAATAATTATTAACACACCTAAATATTTTTCTAGAGATATAAAATATTAAACAAACAACCCAACAAGCACGTAATATTAGTAATATTGCGTGCTACTTGGAAAAAAAATAAAATTTGTAAAAAAATAAGTGAAAAATAAAAAAAAAATTCCCATACCGGGAATCGAACCCGAGCCTCCTGGGTGAAAGCCAGGTATCCTAGCCACTAGACCATATGGGACTTAGGAGATGAATTTTTTTAGCCAGTAAAATGAAAGCGTTTCAAAAAGACTTTAATTTAAAAAACAAATTAATTATTTCGACAAAAAGTGTTGAAAAAAAGGAAACCTTGTGTGGCCAGGAGCGTATGCACTAATTATGAAAAGGTTTTGTGCATTTTTAATTTTTATTTTAATTATAGTTGTTTGTATTGTTTTTATTTGATTGGTTGCTTTTAATTTTATTTTAGTAAATTTTATGCTATCTTTTATAATTATGGCAGTTCCCCCTCCATGATCAGAATTTCTGTCGTCTCGTATTATATTTTAATTTTGCAATGTAAAATTGTGCCTTTTATTTAATTTTGTTTCAGAGATCAATGTTATATCGGGTTTCATGTATTTTAAACTAATCCACTCTTTGTTATTCAAATTGTTGTCCATAATAGACATATTCAATATTTAATTTTTTACAGGTAACTTTCGTCATCTCAATATTTTGTCTAGTTTTTCATTTATTGTTTTAAGTTCCGATGTAAAGAACTTAAATATGTCATCTTTGAATTTGTCTAATACGGTCCTCAATTTATCTTCGGTAACATTATTATTATTTTCTATATTAATACCGACATTAGTATTATTTTCGTTTAATTTTTTAATTCCATTTTTATTTGAGGTTATGTTGGCAAATATCAAGGTATCCTAGCCAGTAGACAAATTATAAAATCAGTTTATATACTTTTTGTAAATATTAAATTATTCGTTCATTTTCACCTCTAATAATATTTCTCGGACGTTAAAGATTAAATAAAAAATTATAAAATCATTTATAAGATAATTAAATTATTAAAGAACAAAATTTTGCAATTTTTTTTTAAATTTTTTAATAAATAATAAAAGACCACTCAGAACGCCCAAACTCCCATTACCTTCTGCACAAACTGCAGAAGACGAACGATCCTCGAGTACTGGAAAGATCGATAAAAAATCGATCTCGCCAGCAGCCTCTCACGCTCAGAGAGAAGAGCTACTGCTCATCATCGTGGCTGCATCGACTCCACTTTTGGGTAGAGAGGACGTGAAGATATACTACAGAAATGATCCTGTGAAGTATGATCTTGTCTTTTCCTTGTTTTGCCACGACTACTTATACTATTTTCTCCGCATCTCGCTTGTGAGAGAGATTCAGACAAGCCCTCTGTTGAGCGCCACTTCAACTATCGTACTTGAACTTGCTCTTGCAGCGTTCTCATTGGTTTAAATTCGTCCGGCGCCAAATTGAAATGCAAAAAAGAATAATTTCTACGCAAATAATTGTTTTACTAATTATAATTATTTTTAAATATTGTTTAAAATAATAAATTAAATATATTAATAATAAAAATTATTTTCTATTAACTAATAATTTTATTATTATTGCTATTATTATTTTATAATTTTTTTTTTTTGTAAGAACAATTATTATTTTTAATAATAATAATATAGAATTGAATTTTTTTTTGTGAATACAATATAGAAAATCGTTATATAAAAATGCCAATTTAATCGAGTTCTATGACCGCAGGGTGAAATTATAGGAAATAAACAAAGAATTTATTTAAATAGCCAAGTCATGAGTAAGCAATTCGTATATAGAAATTTCCCAATGAGCAGGAAGGCAAAATTCCCATAACCAGTGCAGCAAGTCGTTGTCACTATTCTGTTTAGAAATGCAGGTACATATACGGGTTTGCCTATATATTGTATTATATGCTCTCGAGTCTCGACTGTTGATTTTATTATTTTCGGAGCAAAATGCATTGAGAGAGAGAGACCCCTATTGTCGACAAATAAGGGACAGCTGTTGTAAACCGTTACTACTCACATATGCACATACACACACAAACTAATATACTAAATGTATTGATTTTGGCATACATATATTTATAATTATTTTTTTTTTTTTACTGATAAAAATGATTTTTTTTCTTTTCCCCTTCTCCTTTTTTCCATTTTCACACTATTTACGATTATGCAAATAGAAATAATAACATTTCAGATATTTTAGAAATTAGAAAAAAATCATTAAATATTTTTCACTATATTTAATTAATTATTGATTATTTATCATTATTCAATTAATTGTTAATTTTTCCAAAAATGTATTATTATAACATTTTTATTGATAGAAAATTATTTTAAATTAATATTAATTAATTGTTATTTATTTTTCGTTATTAATTATTTTTCATTAATATTTAAAATTAATTATTAATTATTTTGTTACAATTAATTATAATATTTATATTAAATAAATATGTACAAAAATTTTTTTTTCTAATTAATTGATTCGAGAAATTTAAAATCCAAAAATGTATGGCTTAAAAAATTTTTAATAAAAATTAATATAGCAAATCAAAATTTTTCCAAAATTAGACTTGGAACAAATTTTATAAAACAAATTTTTTCGCAAATTTGATTTTGAAAAAAAATTAATTCCAAAATGTAAATTTTCAATTTAAAAAAAAGAATAAAAAAAATTTTTTTTGACAATTTTTGTATAAATAAATAAATAAAATGAAAAAATTTATATCAATTTTAAAAAATTAATTTTTATAATAATATATTTTGAAATAGATTTAAAAAGAAATTTTTTAGGTAATATAAGAAATTTAACAAAAATATTTAAAAGACATATTATCACTTTGACAAGTTTACCTTTAATAATTTTTTATATTTGAGTAAATTTTTTCAAAATTTAAAAAAAAATTTAATTTTGATATTTTTATTTTAAATATAAACGCGATATGAAAAAAGAGACCTAAGAAGCAAACGATTTATAGGTTATGTTTACGACAATTTTAATCTTGATTAAAATTTCCTTTTTATTCGCATGTAAAATGTAAAAGGGAACCTTTAATAATCAAGAGATTAAATAATCGTAAACATAACCTAAAATTTGATTCGTTTGCTTCTTAGATCCCTTTCTTTATATATTGAGTCACATATATTTTATAAAATAAATTACATATTTATTTATATATATTATAAAAAAACTATATAAATTGAAAAAATTGAAAAACACTCTAAAAATAAAACTTTTGTTTAAAAAATTACATTACAAGAAGAAATGTCAAATTTTCTACAAAATTTTTGTTTTTTAATATTAATCATAAACCATAAAGTTTTCTCTCTATATTATCTCAAAGAAATTTCCATATAAGGAAATCAAATTCGGAGCCAGTGATCACGTGACACGATTGAAGCGCCACAGGATTCAAGTGGCGATTCAGTGAATTTCAATAAAGTGACGAGATATCCCCTCACATTTCGCAGTGCTTCACATTGCTTTTTGGTGAAAAAAAAAAAATTTTTTTCTTTTGTGAAAAGTGCCCGGTTTTATATATTTATAAAAATTCAACTGTAAATCTCCTAGAGATTCACAATGGTAAGTATTTTTATTTCAATTTTTTTAAAATCAATATTCAATACAAGAATTATTTATTTTATTTTCTAAGAATTATTTTACTTCCTAAGAATTTGTTTGTGACAATGATTTTTCATATTCTCTTTACGCACGTGTTTGCTTGTTTTATTTCTAATGATATAGTGAAAATAATCATGTTTATACAAATATTCATATAAGATTGAAAATAATTTTCATCTTCTATTGTTAATATTCAATTATTTACTCAGAGAAAATGATTTTTATTGCTTCAAATTATACATTTGCTTTTTGGAGCATTTTCATTATTTTGAGGTTGGTTGACACTATATTTAACCGGAAAAATATTTTTTTTTAAACAATTTTTCTTTTGATATTTATAATGAAAATTGGAATTTTAGGTTAATTTACTTTTTTTCGATTATTTTTTACGACCTTGATTTTGCTTTTGTTTAATTATTTTTTTTTATGAATTATATTTTTATATTATTATAAGCGGTTTCTCACTTTACAGTTTTTCAAAAAAAAAAAATAATAATAATAAAAAATAGAAAATAATTTTGTCAATTTGCAATTTTTAACAGTTTTCTTTTTTGAAACTTTCTATTACATTTTTTTCGGCTTAGAACATAACCTTAAAAATGATCCTTGACAATCTTTTTCAATAAAATTTTAATATTACGAGATTATTTTTGAATAAAATTTTAAAACATTAGTATTTTAATCTGAAAAAACAATTTATGCTTTTTGTTATTAACCTTCAAATTATAAATAATTTATTAATCAAAAAAGGCCTTTTTTGATTAATAAATTAGTGAAAAAAATATTTATCTGATTAAAATACAAACATTATTGGTACAAATATACATAATTTATTTAATTCAAACAAAAAATTATTTGGTTCAATTAAATATTTATATTTATATTTATATTTAATTCAAAATCATAAATCAATTCAAAATCAAATAAAATTCAATTATTTTTAAAAATTTCAATTCAAAATCTTAAAATTCAAAAAAATTTCTCGACTTTTTTTTGGAATATAAATCGACTAAAACGACTTTTTTTGTGCCTTTAAGTCGATCCGAGGCCTGAAATTTTTATGGTGCAAAATTTTTTAGTATAAAATTTGTTTTTAAAAAATAATAGTTTTTGAATATTTCTAGATAAAAAATGTTTTTTGGAATTTTAAAATTAAATTATTTAAAAAATGTTTTAATTTTTCCTAAATATTATAATTTATTTTTGTACTGAACTAGCAAAATTAAGCACAAAATATAATTTTGAAAAATATTAATTTTTTTTTAAATATTTGTGAATTAAAAAATCGTTGTTTTGAATTTAAAATTTTTTAAACTCAAAAACTCTACTTTTTTCGAAATTTTTGTTTGACATGTATTTTTTTAAAAAGGTTTTGCTTTCTTTTTTTTTGTTTGTATTTCTATTTAGCAACTTTGGAAAACTTTTAAAATTTGATTTTTTTCTTCGCAATATAGGTTTCGTTAAATCCTGTAAGGATTTTAAAAACGAATGCCGAAGAGGAGAAGGCAGAGACGGCCCGTTTGGATTTATTCGTTGGCGCAATTGCAATTGGCGATCTTGTTAAATCCACTCTTGGTCCAAAGGGTATGGACAAAATTTTAGTCGCTCACGGTCGTTCAGCAGGCGATGTTCAAGTGACAAATGATGGTGCAACAATTTTGAAAAATGTCGGAGTCGATAATCCAGCGGCAAAAATTCTCGTCGACATGTCCCGTGTTCAAGACGATGAAGTTGGCGACGGAACAACATCCGTTACAGTTCTTGGTAAAATTTTAAATTTCCAATAAAAAAAAGGAATTAAAAAAAAGAATATTATTTAAATTTATTTTTTTCAAAGAATTTGATTAAAATATTATTGAAAAAAAAAATTAATTTAAAATAAAAATTTTTTGAAATAATTGAATTTCAGAAGATTTTTAATTAAAATTTTAAATTAATTTAATTTTGAAGAGTTTGATTTAAAAATTTAATAAATAATTGAATTTTAGGAGATTTTCAATTGAAACTTTTATAAATTTGAATTAATGAAATTTCTTTTTAGAAATTTCAGATAATAATTGAATTTTAAAGAATTTTCAACTGAAATATGTTCTAAATAATTGAATTTTGATGGAGTTACAGTTAAGATTTTTAGAAATAATTGCATTTTTTGAGATTTCAAAAATTATAATTTTTGCTGTAAATATAAACATTAATTGAAAAACGATTTTAATAATTGAATTTTTGAAAAATTGTATCCAAACTATTGAAATAATTAATTAAACAAAAATAATTATATAGATAAAAATTTGGAAAAAAAATTTTCAATTAAATTAACTGCAATTAATTATTCAATCACTAATTGAATTTGAAAGAGTTCGAGTTAACATTTTTTTTTAAGTAATGAAATTTTACAAGATTTTAAATTGAAACTTTCATAAATTTTAATTGATGAAATTTTTTTTTTTACAAACTTTAAAGAATAATAGAATTTTAGAGTATTTTTAATTAAAAAAACTTTTTATTTCTCTGAATTGTTGAAAAACTGTATTAAAGTAATTTAAAAAAAAATTAATTAATGAAGAATTTTAAATATAATTTTTATAAATAATTGAATTTTAGAGAATTTTCAATTGAAAAATGTTTTAAAAAATTCAATTTTTGATTTTTGAAATTTTCAATAAAAAATTTTAGTAAATTTGAAAAATTGAAATTTTTTAAAAATAATATATAAACAAAAATTTAATTTTAAAGAATTAATAATTAAAAAACGTTTTTGAAATTGAATTTTTGAAAAACTTGATTAAAGTTATTATAGAAATAATTAATTTAAAAAGAAATGGAAGTTAAAAATTTAAGAAATAATTAAGTTTTGAAAGAGCAATAGTTAAAATTTTTGTAACTAATAATTGAATTTGAGAAGATTTTTAATGAAAATTTTCGTAAATTGAAATTTCTTTAGATAATTTATAAGCTTTAAACAATAATTAAACTTTGAAGAATTTTTGAATTAGAAAATGTTTGAAATAATTAAATTTTCGAAAATATTGATTAAAATTATTAAAATTAAATTATTCAACAACTTTAATTTTAGATAGAAAATTTAGAAATAATTGTATTTTAGAAGAGTTTAAGTTAAAATTTTTCGAAATAATAATTGAATTTCAGGAGATTATTGAAACTTTAATTTTGAATTGATGAAATTTTTTTTGAAAAACTTTAGACAATAATTAAATTTTAGTGGATTTTTAATATTGAAAATTGTTTAAAAATCATGTGATTTACGAAGAATTTGTTTTAAATTATTGAAAATAATTAATTTTGCATACAATTCAGGTTAATATATATTTTTTTAATCAATTTAAAAAAATAAAAAAAAGTCGTATAATCCGAGACCTGTTATTGAAAACTTGAAAAAATTTTCATTAGGATCAGGGAAAAAATTGTAATTTTAACTGAAAATCAGGGAAAAACAAAATAATATTTTTCTGTCAATCCTGAACAATTTTCGTTAATTTTTTTTTTATCATTTTATTTATTTTTGTTTTATTGTAGCTGCCGAATTATTGCGAGAGGCGGAAAAATTGATTGATCAAAAAATTCATCCACAAACAATAATTGCTGGTTGGCGAATGGCCGTTGAAGTTGCACGTACAGCGCTTCAAAATGTTGCTTCTGACAATTCAGCTGATCACGAACGTTTTCGCGAAGATTTAATGAATATTGCACGAACAACATTGAGTTCAAAAATTCTCTCGCATCATAAGGAGCATTTCAGTAAATTGGCTGTCGATGCAGTGACACGTCTCAAGGGTTCGGGTAATCTATCAGCAATTCAAATCATCAAGAAACGTGGCGCAACACTCGCTGATTCTTTTCTTGACGAAGGATTTTTGCTGGACAAAAAACCCGGTGTTCATCAGCCGCAAAAAATCAATGACGCCAAGATTCTTATTGCAAACACTCCCATGGATACCGACAAGATTAAGGTAAAATTATAGAAAAAGAAAATTCTTTACAAAATTTAGAAAAAATTCTTCTCTATAGTGAATTTTAATATATTTTATAGTTTATAATTATTTTTTTTATAATAAAAATTATAATTTTTTGTAGGTTTTCGGCTCGAGAGTTCGTGTTGATTCAATGGCGAAAATCGCTGAATTGGAATTGGCTGAAAAAGAAAAGATGAAGGTAATTAATAATTATTCTTTTTTTTTTGAAAATTAAATTAAAAAAATTTTTGAAATTGTATTTTAATAGTGAAAAATCAATTTTTACTAAATATTAAAAATATAGGTATTTATTTACCTTTTTTTTCAAAGAAATATCGAAAATATGAAAGAAGAAGGAGAAAAAGAAGACAAGTATTTAATAATAATTTAATATTCCAGGATAAAGTAGAAAAGATTTTAAAACACGGCTGTAATGTTTTTATAAATCGACAATTGATTTACAATTATCCCGAGCAATTGTTCGCTGACGCCGGTGTCATGGCCATTGAACATGCAGATTTTGATGGTATTGAACGTCTCGCCCTTGTTACTGGCGGGGAAATTGTCAGCACTTTTGACAATCCCGAATTGGTTGCACTTGGAAAATGCAAAACCATCGAACAGGTATAAATAAAAAATATAAAACTAAATACAAAAAATACAAAATGCAAAAATTAAAAATACAAAATACATAAAATGAAATTAAAAGAATAAAAAAAAATGCAATAAATAAAAATACAAAAACTAAATAAATACAAAAATTTAGAATACAAGAATACAAAATACAAAAAATTAAAAATATAAGAATACAAAAATTAAAAATGCAAAAATACGAAAAATGAAATACGATTTCGGTCGATTTGCAGGTGATGATTGGTGAGGACACTCTTTTGCGTTTTTCGGGCGTTCCTCTTGGAGAAGCTTGCACTGTTGTAATTCGAGGAGCAACTCAGCAAATTCTCGATGAAGCCGATCGTTCTTTGCACGATGCACTTTGCGTTCTTGCCGCAACTGTTCAAGAATCGAGAATCGTTTACGGAGGCGGTTGCAGCGAAATGGTGATGGCTTGCGCTGTTATGAGAGCCGCTGCAGCAACACCAGGAAAAGAGGCTGTTGCAATGGAAGCTTTCGCTAGAGCATTGTCCCAATTACCAACTGTTATTGCCGATAATGCGGGTTTTGATTCCGCACAATTGGTCAGCGAACTCAGAGCTGCTCATAATTCCGGAGCATCCACCATGGGTTTAAGTATGTATTTAAAAAAGACTTTTAATTTTATTATTTACCTTTTAATATTATATAAATATTAAGGGACCGCTGAAATTTCAATTTTTCAAAATTAAGGTTCTTTAAGGTTGTTAATTTTTTTTTTCCAACAATATTGAATATTTCAAACTGTAATGTACTATGGGAAATTGAAAAACAATTAATTCATTAATAATTTTTGAAAAAAAACTCGAAATTTTCAAAAACTAAAATTTTTAACTTCTGTCACAATTTTTATTATTTTTTATTGCAGATTTTTTTATACACTTTTTTATGATTTTGAAAAATCAATCGTATGGATTTTGAAAAAATTGTCAAAAATTACCTACTTTTTTTTCACAACAAGACCAATTATTTTTTTGTTTAAATTTTATCAATTATTCTTTAAAAATTGAAATTTTTCCACAATTTTTATTGTTTTTTTAGGAGCAATTTTTTTTAGGTTCTCTTCTCGATTCTGAACAATCAATCGTTTGGATTTTTAAAAATTTTAATATTTTCAAAAAATATAATTTCTAAAATGGTTAAAAATTATTTTTAAAAATTTTTTTAATAAATTACAATAATTTTAGATCCGAAATAATGCCAGAAAAAAAATTGACACCCCTTAACAACATTAATTTCGATGAGTTGAAATTTCACCTGTCCCTTTTTTTAGACCGTAAAATTAAGTTTTTTCTTAAATTCTCACTTTTTTCAGTAAATTTCTCAAATTTTCTTCTTTTTACAAACCTGATAAAATTATTGATTTTTCCCTCAAATTATTGTTTTTTTTTATTTTTATTTTTGAATTCCTAAAATAAGCTATTTTTCTAAATTTCTTCTTTTCTGAGATTTTTTATTTTCCTAAATTTTCGATTTTCTGTTCATTTTTTAAAAAATTTTATTTTTTAAAACAAATTTTTCCTCAAATTTTCCTTTTTTGATTCCTTGATTGAATATCTAAAGTTTATTTATATATATATTAATTTTTTTACAAACGGAGACCAAAATTCTCTTTTTTTAAGAATTTCGAAAATTTTCCTTTTAATTGTATTTTTTATTAAAAAATTTTTTTTTTGTTTTTGATAAATAATAACAATGCTTTGATTAAACATTTAAGCGCGAATTTTAATTGGGGCGAGAATAAAATTAATTAAACGAGAATTCTGTTGAATAAAAATTTATTTAAATTAAAATTAAATTTAATAAAAATATTAATATTTAATTAAAAAAAATATATGAATTTTTTAAAATAATAATTCTGTTAAATATGAATTTAATTAAATTAAAATATTATAAAATGTATAAAATTATGGAAATTTTGTTGAATATAAATTTTTAAATGAAAATTTGACAATTTTCCAGCACTACTAATTTATGATACTAAAGTTGACAATGTTTAAGACGGTCATATTTATGTGTAATTTAAATTCTAACGAATTTAATTGAATAAATATTTTATTTCTATTAATTATTGTTATTTGATATTAAAAATAAATTTTAATAATTTTAATTATTTTTAATTTTTAATAATAAGAATAATTGCATTAGAATTTATCAAGAAATTTTATATCTAGATAAAATTTCAAAAATTTTAGGTTTTTAAAAAATTATTAAAGTTAATCTTTTAAAAAAAATGTCAAGTCTGATTTATATGCAAATTGTTTATGAATTCAGAATTTTGATAAAATTTGTCATTTTTTCAAAATAAGATACTTCAATTGAAAATTGGTGAATTTTTAACCTAAAATTATTTTTAAATAATAATTGAATTTATGAACAACTTGATAAAAATTATGTAAATTTGAATTGATGAGGACTTTTTTAAAAGAATTTTAGTCAATAATTGAATTATTGAGAAGTTTTAATTGCAAAATGTTTTAAATAATTGAATTTTCAAAGAATTTCATTAAAATTATTAAAAATAATTTCGCAAATACAATTTTTACATGTATAAATTTTCAAATTAATTGAGTTTTGGAAGAACTACAGTTTGTACTAAAAAAAAAAAAAAAATTCATATAATAACTTGTGACAAATATTGAAATTTTCTCTTTTTGCAAGTTTTCGTTGCTATTTGGACTTTACCCTATAAATATTGTTTATTTCTTTATTTTAATTTTTTTATTTTCTTATTTTTCTACAGACATGGAACGAGGTGAAATTGGATGCATGAAAAAACTTGGCATCACTGAATCATGGGCTGTAAAAAGACAAGTGCTATTGAGTGCAAGCGAAGCGGCAGAAATGATTCTTCGCGTTGACAATATTATGCGCGCAGCACCCAGAAAGCGCGTCAAGGACCGTGGACGTTGTTAATTTACGTTCAATTACAACTTCATTATTTTTTTTGCATTTTCACTGCTGCTTTTGTTTCTTATTATTTTTTTATTAAATCAAAAAAAAATAGTATTGTCACGCTAATGCTCGTAAGAATATTGTTTATATGAAATACTGTTAAATTGCATTTTGGTGAATTTTTCTTGCAAAATAATTTGTTCAAAGTCTCTTTGAACATTTTATTTTGAGGAATGATCTTAAAAAAGAAGAAGAAGGAGAAGAAGAAGAAGAAGAATTTATAAAAAAAAAACAAAATAACAAAAATAAAATAAGATCATTCACCAAGATGCAATATATTCAGAATTTTTAATAAGCGTCTCTTTTTATAACAAAAGAAAAAAAACACAATTTAATATTAATAAATACTTGTACCGTTGAATTATTGTCTTTATTTTTTGCCCCTTATTTTCTTTAATTTTTTGTCACTTGATTTACGTTTCAAATTTTCCGACTTTCATTCAAGTTTCAAAGTTTACGAATTTCAATTTCTTCTAATTTTAATTGATTTAAGTTTCAAATTATCAGAATTTACAATTTGTCCAAATTTTAGTTGATTTAATTAAGTTTAAAAATTATTCAAATTTTAATTGATTTGTAAATTTCGAATATATAAAAATTCGAACAATTGAATATTAGGTGAAGTGGAAATTTTGTATATTCAAAAATTCAAATCACTTAAAATTTTGTTTGAATTGTTGTTTAATTTAAATTGTTTTTTAAAAGAAAAATTCTTACGCTTCAAAAAAAGATTTACAAGGTTTTAATAAAAAAAATTTGCCATAAATATTGTTTTCTTTTTTTTTTTTTTTAATACACATAACAATTTCATTACAGACTTAACATAATTAAATGCCTTAGCCATGTGTTTAAATACTTTTTTATTTTTAATTTTTGTTTTTTTTTTTTACTAAAAACGCATTCTATCAATTTTATAAAATATACTAAACTGTTTTTTTTTTGTTCTCAATACTGTGGTATTTTTTTAATATAATTGTGGAAGGAAAGTGTAAAAAAAGAAGATTAAAAAATAAAAGTAAAAAATAGGAGATATTTTCATAGAATGAAAATCGTGATTTTTTTTTGGGTAAAAACAAAAAAACAATTACAATTCCTCGATTTCGATGTCTTTGCTAGAGCCCTTAAAAAATTGATGACAACGACAATGTAAAAAAAAGAAAATTTACCTCCTCAAATTAATCTAAATTTACAATTATAAATAGCAATAGCAAAAAAAAATTTGTTCTCAATTATAAAAATTCTCACGTGAATAAATGCTTTTTTTTTATTCATTCTCTCATATATACGAAGCGACGTCAATATTAAATTTCAAAAAGGCTTTTTTTCGTTTTTTTTTCTTCTATCTACAAAGGTAACTTTTCTCTCTTTTTTTTAATATAATTAATTTTAGAGAACTATTTTTTCTGTCTTTTTTTTTTTAGTAGGCGAAACGCAATTTTGTGTCGTAACCAAGTTTATCGAGATTTGGCGTACATGCATAATTAATCATTGGTGGTGGTCCACACATGAGGACAATTGTGTCCGACGACGGTGGGAACATATGTTCGGATATCATTTCAGCGCTAATGTGACCCGTACTGTAATTCCAACCTTCGCTACTTGTATCGAGTGTGAACCAAAGTTTAAAACGATCAGAATTTTTTTTCGCAATTTCCTCAAGTTCTTTTCGTAGAAGAATATCCTTTTCGGTTTGATTGGCGAACAAAAGTGATGCCTGCGTTTGATCCTTTGGATCCTTGATCATTGCACGAATCAATTGTAACATTGGCGTTATTCCCGTTCCACCAGCCAACATGACAACCTATAATCAATTTTTTTTTTCAATAATTATGATGTTGATATAACTGAAAAAAAAATTTATTTGATTCAAATAATCGATTACTTGACTATTATCAAATAAATATTTATTTGGATCAAATAATTATTATTTGTATGAAATAATTATTATTTGAGATGGTATTTGTTTTAAATACAGAAATTATTGGTTCAAAGACAATTTATTTAATTTAAATAAAAAATTTTTTGGTTCATGTAAATATTTATTTGATAATAGTCAAGTAATCAAGTATTGGAATTAAATAAATTTTTTTTTCAGTGTAGGTTTCAAAAAATGTTTAAGGCTTTTTTCAATAATAAACATAAAAATAAAATATAATAATAAAATAATATAATATGATAATAAATAACCTTTAACTTTTATTGAAACCCGTCAACATCATAATTATTGAAATTTATACAAGTTTTGAAACATTAAACAACATTTCTTTGATATAAATTTTTTTTATAATATTCTATATTATTTATGAAAGAATTGAAATAAAGTTAGTTTGTATTTTTAAAGAAAAAGAAGATTTAAATTTTTTAAAAAAGGCTTTGGTAAAATTTTTAATAATTCAATTAAAAATTTTTTTTAACAATTAGGAATTGCAATTAAATCAAAATTGAAAGTTTTTATGCGTAATCAATTTTTAATAATAATAATAAATAATTTTAAATTATTATGTATTATTATATTAGAATTATTATTAAAAATTTAAACGATTCAGAATTCTGTAGTATGGAAATAAAGAAAAAAGTTAATGCTGAGAAATTATCTTTTATTGCATTTGAATTTGGCACGGGTAAAATTTAAACCAATGAGAACGCTGAAAGTTCAAGTACGATAGTTGAAGTGGCGCTCAACAGAGGGCTTGTCACAATCTCTCTCACAAGCGAGATGCGGAGAGAATAGTATAAGTAGTCGTGGCGAAACAACGACAAAAGAAAACAAAAGAAACAATAAATCAATAATTAGTTTTTCAAATCAAAACACAGCAATAAATCCCATTTTTAATTTTGATAAAGATTTTTTTTGTAATATAGATTCAGTAAAAAATATATTAAAACGGCATAACAATAAAGTCTCGACAGGAATCGACGGGATTCCCAATATCGCGCTTAAAAAACTGTCTAATAGTATAATACGCGATTATGTAATAATATTTAACAATGCGCTAAATAATTCTTATTTTCCTAATAAATGAAAATTGGCAAGAGTGAAAGCACTCGAAAAAAAAGATAAAAACCCTGAACTCCTCAATAGTTACCGTCCTATCAGCTTGCTCTCAAACGTTGGTAAACTCTTCGAAATAGTAATAAACAAATCAATCACAAAAAATTGCAAGGAAAAAGGAATTATTCCCTACGCTCAGTTTGGTTTCCGACCCAGACATTCGACTATTCATGCAATCTCGAAGTTTGCTTCGGGTATTTGTTGGTCGTTAAATAAGGATAAATTTGTTGGCGCATGCCTAATCGACCTGGAAAAAGCATTCGACTCTGTTTGGCTTGACGGTCTGTTTTTTAAATTGCTTAAAAATGGGTTCCCGATTCACTTAATTAAAATACTATGGAATATACTCCATCAAAGAAAGATACAGGTTTTCAATAACAATGAGAGATCGAATTTGACCTTTAAGCTTCATGCGGGACTCTAACAGGGAGCGGTAAACTCGCCAATCTTATTTAATATTTACATATATGAAACATTGAACATGGCCGGGTTAAATACGAACTTAACATAGCAGGCTTAAATAAAACTGAGACGACAAAATCCATAGGATTTGCCGATGACATTGTTATTTTAATACACTTTGAGGTGTATTTTGTGCAAGAATTTGCAATAAAATAGTCTGCCTAAGAAAAATTAAATTTTTTTGGGAACATTTTTATGACATTATTTACCTTAAAGATGTAATATTGGACTTCCTCTACTTGTATCGAGGTGTCATTTTTTTTACACTTTTCGGTGTATTTTGTGCAAAAATTTGCAATAAAATAGTCTGCCTAAGAAAAATTGAAATTTTTTGCTTTTTGGCAACATTTTTATGACAATTTCAAAATTATTATCAGACGTATGTTGAGCTTTAAATGAAAAAAAATTTCTGGGCGCATGCCTAATTGATTTGGAGACGGCACTCGACACGGTTTGGTTGGATGGCCTTTTTTCAAATTATTAAAGAAAAAATTTCCAAACATTTAATAAAAATATTGTGGTTCACACTACGTGGAAAGATGATGTTTGTAGAAGATAAAGGTAAAAAATCAAATTTAACGTTTTCTCTGGAGCAAGGACTCCAACAAGGAGCAGTCAATTCTCCCATGCTATTCAGCATATATATTTGCGACCCGCTAAAGTCCTTTGGTCTATTGGACTCAGCGAATAAAAAAGCTATAGCCTTCGCCGATGATATTATAGCAAACGTAACAGGTAAATTTCCGCAAGAAGTACAAAAAGTATTACAGAATTTGTTCGACGACTTGCTGTTCTGTTTCGATACGTGGAGATTAAAATGCTATGTTAAAAAAAGCGAAACAATACTATTAAGACCGAATGTGAACAAAGTCCACAAAAATATTGTAGAGTCTGGAGGGAGCTTGAAATTAATACTCCTTCCGATCGAAACGTGTATTTAGAAAACAAAAGCACAGTAAAATATTTCGGTATGTGGCTTGATAGTAAATTGAAATTTAAACAGCACGTAAAAATTGCTGTAGAAAAGGGGAAAAAAGCTTATTTTACTGTTAAAAGTCTTTTTCACTCTAGACATCTAAACCCTAAAGCCAAAATCCTCTGTTACATGTTACTGGTCAGACCAGTAGCAACTTATTGCTGCCAGATTTGGTTTAATATCTCGCCCTCAACAATGTAAACGCTTCGAAAATTCGAGAGAGACTGTTTTAGAGCCTGTCTTCAAATGTACAGAAATCCAGAGTCAAATTTCAAAAAATTTTATAGCTGCAAAAAACTATACAATAGCGCAGAAATATCCAGAATAGATTGTTTTATAATAAAATTAATTAGAGACTTCAGAACTCATGCGGCAGATATGCGAGTGAACTCACTGATTTTTGGTCCATATTTTCCGAACCCGCTTTACTTTGAAAAATGTAGAAGATCAGGTTATATCCCTCCAGAAGCGTTTCCATATCTTGATGGCGAAGTATATATTAAAAATAAAGATAATATTCCCAGGATTCATCACACACACCGACATGCCTTTAATAAAAAATTCTAATAAAAGCAGATAATATTGGCTCAAATTGCAGATTTAGTACAAGTTTATCAGACGTCGATATAAAGTACAAACGAGATCTTAAATATCATTGGTGGTTGTCAAACTAAATTAATAATATTAAAAATATTTTATAGCCGTCACAAAAACATTATCAAAGCAAAAATGCAATATTGACAAGTGTGAAACCATCCTATTCAGATCGAAAGCCAACGAAGTTAGCGCCAAATACTCGAAAATATGGCGTAATGTTAAAATCGCGGTTGATAACAACGGAGATAATAGACTTCAACACAAAAGATGTGTAAAATACCTAGGAGTGTGGATGGATGAACAATTAAAGTTCACCAATTATATAAAAACAATGTTAAACAGAACAAGGGCTACTTTTTTAGTAATAGTAAATTATTCTACTGTAAAAAATTAGAAAAAAATGTTAAAATTTTGGGCTATGTTTTGTTAGTCAGACCCCACCTCACTTACGCTTGCCAAAACTAGTTTAACATAAGTGCAAGCGTTAGGTAGCAACTAAGGAGGTTCGAGTCCTCACAGATGCAGTGTACTCGAGCACGCAGCTTATTTTTTCAGTTCAAAATTAATTCAAAAATTGATAATTATTTGTCGACAAATCATATCGATATAATTATCACATGAAACACCTAACTCTGAACCAAGGAGTTTTAATGACATCTAATAGATGTCACTTTGCTGATAAAGTCGAATTCTTCAATTTCGTAATTTTCAATAAACAAATCGGGTCAAATTAATGACGGTAAAGTTAATAAGATTCTTAAAAAACTCAACATTATCGAAGATTCTTCAAGAGTTCCAAATCTTGTCGACACCAATGAACACGAAAAAACAACAAGGACCAATAGATCCCATAAATCAAGAAAATATTATTATGGCTTTAGGTCAATTCAAAATGGAAATAGAAAACAACACAGATTTCATAGCAAGGATAAATCAACAGGAGATGTTATTATAAAATCAAAGTAAAATAATTACAGATCTCCAAACCGAAAACCAAGAACAAAAAAAATGATATTGAAACTACAAAATCAACTTACACAAACCAAAAATGTTAACAGCAAAGCAGAATCAACCAAAGCGCTCCACGAAAACAAATCAACAGACAACAAAACATAGAAATCTCTTCTATCAAAGGAAAACAGCAAGAAAGTAACATCAACACCTAAAAAACAAAACCAATCTGCTTCGAAAAAAAGTGAAATCATTGAAACTATGGACTTCACAACACCACCATTCAATACGAAGAACCAACGTCCTCCACTAATTCAAGTAATTGGCCACTCTAGCCAGGTAAAAATTAATGCGATAAAAAAAATAACACAATTAATTTAGCAGGCTCATTTATGACAAAAAGAACGGGAGAAAACTCCCATGATATTAAGACAGAAAATCCCTTTTGAAAAATGAAAACATAAATTTATACTCAAACACGCCTAAATCAGAAAAATCAAAAGTTCCTTTTAAAACACATAGAAGGAGACTTCTCAGAAGTCGAAATTCTAAACGAATTGAAAAAACAAAATATTAATGAAGTAGAATTCATCAAAGTAGCGCGATATAAAACAAAAAAATCCATTGCAGAAAATAGAATCTTACCAATTTTCGTAGTTCATATCTCTGCAAATAGCAAATCAAATCATCTTGCAAATATTAAAATATCCAAAATGTCTCACCAATAATAAATGTATTGAAGCGACTGTAATAAAAATCAATC